CTTTCTACTTTGTTCATTTATTCTATAATTTATTATGTTTCTAAGCATAACTTATAATGCTTTGTCCATGTAGTATGTAATAGTTAAATCATTTGACACATTCATGGAATAAAATGTTGTATTGTACCACGATTTATCTACCTGTCCAAGGGTATTAGTATCCTTTATAGATTTTTAGTTTGATAAATATTGCTAAGAACATCCTGTATCTTAAGGGTTTTTTTTTTAAGCCCATAGATAAGAATTGTTTCTCTGGTATACATACACTGGAATGGAATTATGGGGTCCAGTTACTTTTCAGAGCTGGTGGATGAGTTTATGCCTCCCCCCCCCAACAGCACATGCTCCTGAAGTCTTGATGTCCTCCCACCTTCCATCAGCATTCCTGATTTTGGGTGTCTTTGCTGGTGACCATAGGGAAACTCTCTTTCATCTTTCTCAGCCAGAGCCATGCCCTTTTATATGCCCCAGTGGCCCTATACAGGTGCTCTTCTGTACCCCTGTAGCCCTAACTGAACACTCTGAGCACCAGAAGGGGAGGACTTTTCATGTGTCCATCAGAGCCACATGGTCCTCCTGTGCATGTTCCTTGTGCTCCACCCCAAAGTGCACTGAACCGAACCCTCTGCCCAAGAACCGGGGCCAGACCACTGGCTGCAAATGCAAGAGGTGATTTATTGAGTACACAGGCGCCTGCGGATGCTACTGCAACTCGGGTGCAGAGCATACCGGGCTTGTAGGGAGTACACTATTTATGGAGTTTTAATGATTACATAAGTATCAGCATAGCAACAGATATTTCATTGGCTACTGAAGCATGGGCTGAGATCATCTGGGGGGGCAGGGGTAGTTGCCAAGGACTAGGTTTCCTACATGAAAGACCCCGGCATGCTTCAACAATTAGTATCCGGGTCCTATGATTGCTACAGTGATCAGACACAATTGGGGGCCAGGGTAGTTGCCAAGGACTAGGTTTCTAGTATTACTTTATGAAAGACCCAGGCATACTTCAGCAATTATTATCCTGGTCCCATGACTACTATGGTGATCATAGACACAACTGGGGGCAAGGGTAGTTGCCAAGGACTAGGTGTCCTGGTATTGTTATATGAAAGTTCCCAGCACGCTTCAGCAATTATTATCCGGGTCCCATGATTGCTATAGTGATCAGACACAATTGGGGGCCAGGGTAGTTGCCAAGGACTAGGTTTTCTAGTATTGTCATATGAAAGTTCCCAGCACGCTTCAGCAATTATTATCCGGGTCCCATGACTGCTATAGTGATCACAGACATCCTGTTTTGAGGGTGAGACACCTGGTCTGGGTTTCTTTCATTAGGCAACGGCCTGGCCTTGCTTTTCTTTTCCTAGGGGGGCCCTGGGTAGGGGTCTTTCAGCACGAGTGTCTCCTGAGGTGACTAAAGATCCCTGATGCATTTTCCCATCCCCATCCCCACCCCACAATAGCCTTCCCTGCTTCTCAGATGAACACAGTTGCCTCTACTCTCTGTGTTTCTTGAAATGTAGTCCACAGGGCAGAACTAGTTACATCAGAGAATGTGCCTCTGTAAGAAGCCCATAGGGCAGCCCGGCGTTGGTGGCGCATGCCTTTAATCCCAGCACTCGGGAGGCAGAGGCAGGCGGATCTCTGTGAGTTCGAGGCCAGCCTGGACTACCAAGCGAGTTCCAGGACAGCCTCCAAAAGCCACAGAGAAACCTTGTCTCGAAAAACCAAAAAAAAAAAAAAAAAAAAAAAAAAAAAGAAAGAAAGAAAGAAGCCCATAGGGCTTTGCCGGCAAAGTGCATTCTCAGACCCTCTGACACCGACTGAGATTCTCAGGGTTGCTGTTAATTCGGTGGCTTTCTGCATAATGAGTTCCCCAGGTGACATGCATGTTCCGATTTGGGAGCTGCTGCTCTGGGGACTACTAGAACAGAGGTGAGGCCAAGGTCATCTCCAGGTGTCTTCAACCACCCTCCCAACAGCTCTTCCAAGAAGGTTGTGACAACCTTCATTTTCTTCTGATCTTTCCCCTACTTCCACTGTCTCTCATAGAGCAGCAAGGAGAAGAGACTGAAAAGAGCTGCCGGCCAATAGAGGCCTGATCAGCTACAGAGTGATATCGTTTTCCAATGGAATAGCATTTTTCTTTATAAAAAATTATTTTATTTTAGGGGCTGGAGAGATTCCGTGGTTAGGAGTACTGGTTGCTTTCCTAGAGGATCCAGGTTTAATTTTCAGCACCCACATGGCAGTTCACAACTGTCTGTAATACCAGTTCCAAGGGGGATCTGGCTTTTATGGACATTGCATGCATGTGGTCCACAGACAAATGCAAGCAAAACACCCATACATACAAAAACAATAAAGTGCTCAAAAATTTCTTTAAAGTTATCTTACTGCAAGGTGTGGCAGCACATGCTTTGAACCCTGAGCTCAGCCTGGTCTAAAAAGTCAGTTCCAGGACAGCCAGGGCTACACAGAGAAAGCCTGTGTTGAAACCTGCAACCTGCACACACACACACACACACACACACACACACACACTGACCCTATTCCCGGAAAAATGTTATTTTGTTTTCCTTTTATGTGTATAGATGTTTTGGCTGCATTTTTTTTTGAGACAGTGTTCCTCTTTGTAACAATCTTGGTCATTTGGTCATTGCTCACTTGGCTAGCTGCATGTAGTTCCATGTGCTGCTTGTGTGCCTGTGGAGGTGTCAGAGACATTGGGTCACTGATTTAATCGTGTGCTGTGGCTTTGGTTTTTTGATCAGTTTCTCTTGTAGACCAGGCTGGCCTTAAAGTTGATATGCAGTACAGGGGGAACTCATTTTCCAGCCTCAACATCTTGAAGGCTGGATTTACAGGCCTATGACACCATTCTCAGGGTTAGATTAAAAAAGAATAGCTAATTAAGTAGTCAAGGTCAAAGTGGTCTACTTGGTGTGATCTGTTTGATTCTGCAAGGTGGGCTCACAGTCCTTATTGCTTGAGGGAAGCAATTGGATTCCCTTAAGACAATGATTCATGTGCAGCATACAACTTCATCTATGCAGGTAATTGTCCTTAGTGTGTGTAGAGGAGGGATTCTTGTCCCTTGAGGCCTAGCATTGTTTCATAAAAGTACTTATTATCAGTCCTGTTGTTCTAGGATTACAATACAAAACTGACGTTTTATGACATATCTGAAGCACCTTTTGGGCAATCTGGAACAGAACATTGTAAAAGTTGACAATTAATGCAGGGTGGTGGTGGTACATGCCTTTAATCCCAGTACTTGGGAGGCAGAGACAAGTGGATCCCAGTATGTTCGAGGCCAGCCTGGTCTACAGAGTTAGTTCCAGGACACCCAGGGCTGTTACACAGAGAACCCCTGCCTCAAAAACAAATTAAAAAGTTGACAATTAAATGCCTAAAGGTGACAGATACAAAATGAAGGCAAGATGTCAGGACTTTTAAGTCCAAATGAGAATTCAATGCTTTTTAGCCAAAGCAGTTCCCTAAAAAGAAAGAAAAAAGAAAAAAACCGGTTTACTCTTATGCCTACATTTGCCTGCATGTTTTCGCATCACGTACATGCCTCATGCCTTTAGAGGGCACTAGGGACTTGAATCACAGCTGGTTTTGGTTTTGAGTAGCCATATGGGTGCTCGGTTTTTTTGTTTGTTTGTTTTTGTTTTTACGAGACAGGGTTTCTCTGTATTGTTTTGGAGGCTGTCGGTCCAGCCCTGCCTCGAACTTACAGAGATCCTCCTGCCTCTGCCTCCCGAGTGCTGGGATTAAAGGTGTGCGCCACCACCGCCCGGCAACCATGCGGGTGCTCGGAAACAAACCAGGGTCTTTTATTAGACCAGGCAGTATTCTTAACTGCAGGGCCATCTATCCGGTGACCACTCCAACCCAAAGCAGTTTCTAAGTGCCAGTTATTATTATGATGATTTAGCCCATCTCACAGGTTTATTTGTAACTGCTAAATGTGTTAGCACATTGCGACTTGCTGTATGTAAAATTATTAATTGCCACCAAACCCAAATTCTCCTTTTCTAGCCTTTTCCTCGCCCAAGCCTAAAGAGTATGATATAATAAACTTGGAGCGAGCTGAAGACAAAGCTGTTTTTTTTTTTTTTTTTTTTGGTTTTTATGAGACAGGGTTTCTCTGTGTTGTTTTGGAGGCTGTGGGTCCAGCCCGGCATGGAACTCAGAGATCCGCCTGCCTCTGCCTCCCGAGTACTGGGATTAAAGGCGTGCGCCACCACCGCCCGGCAAAGCTATTTTTTCTTAATAATTAATTTAAGTTTATTTTATGTGCATTGGCGTAAAGGTGTCAGATCCTCTGAAACTGGAGTTACAGACAGTTGTGAACTGCTATGTGGTGCTGGGAATTGAACCTGGATCCTCTGTAAGAGCAGCCAGTGGTCTTAACTGGCTGAATCGTCCTCTCCATTTCATCGAAGAAAGCTATTTAGAAAAAAAAAATTCCACTTTGGTGGGGTAGCTCACACCTGTAATCCCAGCACCGGAGACAGGAAGGCCAAGGCAGGAGGATGGCTCCTAGTTCGTGGCCCTCCTGGATTATATAGCCAGCCTGGGCTCCAGAGCTCTGTCTCAGCCAAACAACAAAAACAGCCTCGCGCCGGGCGGTGGTGGCGCACGCCTTTAATCCCAGCACTCGGGAGGCAGAGGCAGGCGGATCTCTGTGAGTTCCAGGCCGGGCTGGACTGACAGCCTCCAAAACAACACAGAGAAACCCTGCCTCGTAATAACAAAACAAAACCAAAAAAAAAACAACCAACCAACCAACCAAACAAACAAACAAAAACCCAGCCTCGCTGTCCCGCAGATTGATGAGCGAGCCTCTCCAGAGGATCACAAAAAATGCCTGGGCTTGCGACCACGCCCCCACATCCTGGTGAATACGCGCCCCAAACTCCAGGTATCACGACAGTTCCTTTTTTCTTCGTGCTAGATCATAGGCCTCGCGAGAGTGGCTTGTCCAATCACGGCGCAGAGTGGCTTCACAAGATGGCGGCGCGCAGGGAGCGTAGCATCTGCGTTTCTAGGAGCTTGGCTGTGTGCGTGTGTTAGGATCCTGGGCTTGTGCAGGCCCCAGCTACACGCACCGTCCGGCAGCTACATTGGCTTACGAGGTACGAGCTTCAAGAACCTCTTACCATGTTGCGCTCGTGAGTCGCTTAACCATTGGCTCACCGGCTTTTATACTCTGGTTCTCGGCTCCTCCGGGGCTTAATTTGGGTTTTGAAGCCGGGCACCCCGGCAGGTGTGTGCGCGGATGCTGGCGGTAGGGTGGGTAGGTGGGAGGAGTTGAAGGAGAGATCCACTTCAGGCGCCGAGGCGGGAAGAAGGCGTGGATGAGCCAGAGAAGTGCCAGGGATGAGCTAGAGGAAAAGTCAAATTTGTAACGGGGGGCGTGGAGAGAAAACGGAGGTGTTGGGGTCGTGGTGCGACGCATCTGTTGAATCTGCTGTTCCTTTAAAAAAAGTTTTCTTTTTTACTTTGTGTTTATGGGTGTTTTGCCTGCACGTATGTGCGCACCACGTGCATAGTGTCAGCAGAGGCTAATGCTGATGCAAATGGTCGTGAGCCGCCATGTGGGTGCTGGGAATCGGACCCAGGTTCTTTGAGAGCAATCAGTGCTCAAAGAGGTCCATTTCTACAGTCCCCAGAGTCGTTACAGGCTTATGCATGAGAAGAAATGGTGTCTGAAGAAATAAAGGTCGAGGGGAACTAAGGAGGCATGGAGTGTTAAAGAGGAAAGAAGGCCGCCCTCAAGATCTTTGGCTTTTGGAATCACTCAGATGAGCATTTTTTGTTGTTCAGACTCATCTGGGCTGCCCATTCAGAAAGTGTTACGTTCAGTGACTTACACAGTGGAAAATATTTCATAGGCATTCCCTTCATAGTGTTGATGACTGAACGCAGTGCTTTGCACGTGCTAGGTAAATGTTCTGTCACTCTTGAGTTACATCTCCAGGCGATAATACTTCCCAGTCAATAAATAGTTGAGTACCTATCTTTTTGGTTTTTCAAGACAGGGTTTCTCTGTGGCTTTGGAGTCTGTTCTGGAACTCGCTCTGTAGACCAGAGATCCACCTGCCTCTGCAAGTGCTGCGATTAAAGGCTTGAGCCACCACGCCCCGCTGAGTACCTATTCTTACAGATCCTGTTTTAAGTATTGGGGCACCTCAGTGAACAAATGTTTTCCCTTTTGGAGTTTACTTGCAGAGAAAATGTTAACAATTAAAGCAAGCATGTATAGAATGTCAAGTGAGTAAATTCAAAAGGCAGAAGTTAGGAAGGTGATAGAGTGTGTATTCTGGTCACCGAATGTTTTAGTGAGGAGCTCAGGAAAGGTATTAATGAGGTGACATTTGACCAGAGACCTAACAAGATGGGGATGTGTTCTGTGTGTGTACATTCTGGGGGAGAGCAGCCCATGACAATTGAACAGCAGCAAGTGCAAGGTCAGTGTGACGGTGGGTCCTGGAGTCACAGCACTTAGGAGAGTAAGGAATTCATGACTAGCCTTGGGTACATAGTGAGTTCTCAGCCAGCCTGGGCTACCAGAGACCTTGTCTAGGAGCAACAAGAACAAAAAGACAAGTACAGATAGCCAGAAGGCATGAGTGTGCCTGGTTTGATAGAGAAATGACGAATAGTCCAGTGTGGCAGGAACAGAGTGAGCTGAGCCAGATGGACTTGTGTTAAGTAAGCGCCGACACCAGTTAACTTGGAGCTAAAAACCCAGAGGTTAGTAATCTGGAGTGTAGCGGCTTGTTGGTAGAGCTTGTGTGAGACACTGGGTTAAATTCCTAGTGGAACACATTTTTTTCCTCAAAAGTTAATCAAAGGAGTGACTTTATTGACTGTATCTGTTATGACCAATTAAATAGTGTAGAAAGTGAACTGAATTGGCCAAGATTGTAATTAAATTATCTTGGGTCACATATGTTCAGAGTACATGCCTGTTAACTGTGCCTTCTGACGTGTTGCAGAGTCCTACTGTATCAATATTTCTTGAACTTGTTAACTTGTTAGAGGAGTGCTTTTCTTTACTTTCTTTTTTTGTTTTTGTTTTTTGTTTTTAGAGACAGGGTTTCTCTGTATTGTTTTGGAGGCTGTTCTGGAACTCGCTTTGTAGATCAGGCTGGCCTTGAACTCAGAGATCCACCTGTCTCTGCCTCCTGAGTGCTGGGGTTAAAGATGTGCTCCAATGCCCGGTTGGGAGAGCCTTTCTTTTTGCTGCTCTACATCATTACATGGGGAAAAATTTTCCCTTAGGTACTCTTGGGCCTGGGGCCTGTCCTCAGTTTATGCTCCTTCTTACCCAGATGTCTGTAAGGGGCATGTGACTCCTAGGGGGTAAAAACTGCTGTGTAATGAGTTTCTGCTTTTGTGTGTGATTCTGAAGATTGAACCTAGGGCCCCGAGCATGCTGGGGCCCTACTCTAATGATAGGCTGTATCCCCCTGGTGGTGGGGAGGAGCAGGTTTATTGAGGGCTCTGCGGTGGCAGCTAGCTGGGCTTAAAAAGAGCATGGCTTACTTGTTTTATTATTTTCTGTGTATGTTTGATTAGAAGCAGGGTTTCACATTGTAGCCCAGACTGGCCTCAAGTTTGCTGTGATCCTCCTGCCTCTGCGTCTCAAGTACTGGTGTTATAGGCATGTGTGTACTCCTGCCCCCACCAATGCTTTTGAAACTAAACATGCTGATTGATATCTTCTCTCTCTCTCTCTCTCTCTCTCTCTCTCTCTCTCTCTCTCTCTCTCTCTCTCTCTCTCGTATCCCCTCTTCCCTTTCTCTTTAAAGATGGCTCTAAGCAAATCGATGCATGCAAGAAATAGATACAAGGACAAGCCACCGGATTTTGCATATCTGGCATCCAAATATCCAGATTTTAAGCAGCATATTCAGATAAATCTGAGTGGGAGAGTAAGGTAGGTAACACATGAAAAGTTATTAATATGTATCACTCTAGTGTGATCTGAGTGAACTTGATATGATGAGAAACAAGCTGGACCAGCAGAAGACCTGAGTGTTAACCATGTGCATGTCATAGAATGTCTCATATGACTTTGGACAAATTGATTATCCACAGGAAAGTCTCTTCATGGCCAACTTACTGCTTCTGCAACAGAGATACCAAAGTAACTCAGACTAGGACTGTCCTCTCTGTGATCCAGTGCTCAGTGAATGGCAAAATGTTTTGTTACAGCTGGTCAGTAGTGGTATACGCCTTTAATCCCAGCACTTGGAATGTAGAGACAGGCAGATCTCTATGAGTTTGAGGTCAGCCAAGTCTACACAGAGAAACCCTGTTTTGAAAAAACAAACAAAACAAAACAAAAAGTCATCGGTTTTGATGTGAAGTCGGAAAGTAATAACTAGAATGTTAAAAATGTTAAAGCTTGGGCTGGAGAGATGGCTCTGAGGTTAATAGTACTGACTGTCTTCCAGGGGTTCTGAGTTCAATTCCCAGCAACCACATGGTGACTCATAACCATCTACAATTCAGTCTGGTGCCCTCTTCTGGCATGTAGTCAGAACACTGTAAATGTGATAAATAAATCAATCTTTTTTTTTTTTTTTTTTTTTTTTTTTTTTGGTTTTACGAGACAGGGTTTCTCTGTATTGTTTTGGAGGCTGTGGGTCCAGCCCGGCCTGGAACTCAGAGAGATCCACCTGCCTCTGCCTCCCGAGTGCTGGGATTAAAGGCGTGCGCCCCCACCGCCTGCTGATAAATAAATCTTTAAAAAAAGGAAAAAAGGAATGTTAAAGCTTGTGTCAGAGATGTAGCTTAATTGTTGCAGAGTGGAAACCCTGGGTTTTATCTCTAGCACTGAATAAACAGTGTGATGAGGTGCACATCTGTGAAGCAGGGGTCAATTCAAGGGCAGCCTTGGTCTCATAATGAATTTGAGGCTATACTGGGCTATTTGAGAACTATCTGAAAAATAATGGCAGAAGTTATGATAATGATATGAGAATGTGAGGAAATAAGTGTGTTATACCTGAAGTTACAGAGGCATGTAAGACCAGACCAGGTATTTTAAGACAGGCAAATTATATGTTCAAGGTTATGTTTAAACAGATATATTCTGTTTTGTTTTCACTTATCTTATGTGTGTGCGTGTGTGCCTGAGTTTAGTGTTTATGTCCACTGTGTGCATATAGGAACCTCCTAAGGTCAGAAAAGGGCATTGGATTCCCTGAAACTGGGGTGAGTTTTAGATTATGATGAGCCATCATGTGGGTGCTGGGAACTGAACCTGGGTTCTCTGCAAGGACAGCTAGTGCTGCTGAACCATCTCTCCATTTCATAAACAAATGCATTCTAAGAACATTGTAGAGAATGGATTAAAGAGAGAATTAAGGTAACTAGAAAATGTTTTTAGTATCCCAGATTGAGTATATTAGTTGCCTATCTAGGTGAAGGCAATAAAACTCAGAGAAGTTCCTAGGCACAATTAGCACTACATGGTGGAAATTAGAGAAAAACCAAGGTCCTCCAGTAGTCAGAGGAGGTGGTGGTAGCATTTTCAAGAGTCCAGAGCACAGGGTGAGCTGATTTTAGGAAGATATTTTTAGTTGGGCATATTAGATCTGAGGACTTGGGAATACTTGAATAGACTATTTCATATGCAGTGGGAAATAAGTTGAAAGAAAGTGATGGTGGGATGACTGTTGAAGGTTAAAGAGACGTGAAGCAACAATTCAGTGTATAGGAAGTAGATGTGGCCGGTTTGGAGAGCAGTGTGCAGATGTGGATATAGGAGAGTAGTGTGTAACAGAAAGGAGGAAAGGAAAGGAAACAAAGAACATACAACATACAGGGGCCAGAGAGTTGACTGGTGGTTAAAGGGACCTGACACCAAGCCTGAAGACCTGAGTTTCATTTCCCAGGATTCCACATAGTGTAAGGAGAGAATCGACTCCCGCAGATTATCTTTTGACCTCTACAGGCACACCATGGCACATGCACACACATGCACTTAATAAATAAATAAAGATTTAAAAGCATTATATAGCATTCTAATAATTCATAGATGTAATTCTTCATATTGAGGAGCCTGGAGAGGATTGGTTAATTTGTGATGCAGGGCCTTAATTCAGGATTTCGTGCTTGTGAAGCAAGCATTCTGCACTGAGCTATTCCTTCATCCTAGGTAAGCGATTGTGTCTGTATGAGAGAGAGAGATTTGTTTTATGTGTATGAGTGTTTTGCCTTCATGTAAGTAAATGTCCATGTGCCTGTGGAGCCTGCAAAAATCAGGAGAGGGAGTTATTTGTGGTTGTGAGCTGTGGTGTGGGTGCTGGGAACTGAACCCAAATCCTTTGTAAGAGCAGCAAGTGTTCCAGGATTAAAGGCATGCATTTTTGTGCCAGGCTGCAGCTTCTTAAAAGTCAGTGTAATGACTGACAGGGAGTGTTTTATGTTTTATTGTCTCACATGAAAATATGTATATTCACCATACACTTTGAATTGGATTTATTTTATTATTGTTTTTTGTTTTGTTTTGTTTTGGAGATGGTTTCTTTGTAGCTTTGGATGTCCTGGAATTCACTGTGTAGACCAGGCTGGCCTGACACCACATCCAGCCTACAAAGTTAGCTTTTTGGTTTTTCTTTTTTCTTTTTTTCTTTTTTTTAATGAGACAGGGTTTCTCTGTATTGTTTTGGAGGCTGTCGGTCCAGCCCGGCCTCGAACTCACAGAGATCCGCCTGCCTCTGCTTTTTTTTTTTTTTTTGATTTTTGGAGACAGGGTTTCTCTGTAGCTTTGGAGCCTGTCCTGGAATTTGCTCTGTAGAACAGGCTGGCTTTGAACTCACAGAGATCCGCCTGCCTCTGCCTTCCAAGTGCTGGGATTAAAGATGAACGCCACCAATGGCCAGCTTAGCTTTTTGGTTTTTGTTTTTAATTTTATTTATGGCACTGGAGAGATTACCTAGTGGTGAAGAGCACTTACAGAGGTTTGGTTCCCAGCACCCACTTGGTTGGCTCACAACAGTCTAATTCCAATTCCAGATGATCTGATACCTTCTGGGCTCTGAGGGCACTATACACAGTCATGCATTCATGCAAAACATTCATACACAAAAAGCAAAAATAGTTTTTAAAAATTAAATGTTTTTATTATATTCATTTGTGTGTGTGCCTGTGCATGAGTCTAGTCATGTGTCCCAGCATGTTGGAGATCAGAGAACTTGTGGGAGTCTTGTCTTTTTAGCATGTGGGTTCTGGGGTTCAAATTCAAATCGTCAGGCTTGGTAGCACCTGGCTTTATGCACCGAGCCATCTTGTATTTATTTTATAGTAGATATAAAGGGCTTCCTCCTGGCAATGAGCAAAGAGACACCTTTTGGTGATGGTGTTCTATACTCGGACAGGGCAGATGGCAGTCCTTTCTTTGTCATCCTAGTTTGATGCCTGGCTTGGTGGCCTAAGCTGTTTCATGCCTAGGGCACATTAAAAAAAATTAAACTTCACAGAGGAAAGCAAATATGCCTATAAAAAAGAAGACATGGCCATTGCTAGCATTTTCCTTAATTTTATTTATATATGAATGTGTGTTTGTGTGCTGTGTTGCATATGTGGAGGTCAGAGAATAACTTTCACTGTGGCATCTAGGGATTAGTTCAGACCACCAGGCTTGTATGGCTGTTGCTTCTACCCTATCTCCTGTGTTGGGGAGTTCAGGCTAAGGCAATTTTCTTTTAAAGATGAGAGTGGTGTGTGTGTGTGTGTGTGTGCGCGCGCGCGCGCGCGCGCATGCTCACACATGCATCAATGCCACACTAATGTGTAACCTTTTTTAAAGGAAAGTGAATGGATATAGATTGGCCAAGTTATGTCCTGCATGTCCTGTTTTTTTTTTTTTTTTTAAATGTGTACTAACTTTTTATTTGTTTGTTTTTTGAGACAGGTTTTTCTGTGTAACAGCCTTAGCTGTCCTGGAACTTGCTCTGTAGACCTGGTTGTCCTCGAACTCACAGAGATCTGCCTGCCTCTCCCTCCCAAGTGCTAGGATTAAAGGCATGCACTACCACTGCGTAGCTTTACTGACTTAAGTTTTTGTTTATTTTTATTTTTATTTTATGTATGCCTGCATGTGTGTCTGCACCACGTATTCCTGGTGCCCGTGGAGACCAAAACAGGGCTCAGACCTGCCAGAACTGTAGTTATAGATGGTTGTGAACTGCCACGTGGTTTCTGGGAACCAAACTCAGGTCTTCTGGAAAAGCAGAGCTACTCCTCCTCTGCTCCCATCATTGGTTGTGGAGGATTGAACTGAGGTCATCAGGCTTGTGTGACAGACACTTCCCTGTGGAGCTATCTTGCTGGACTGTATGTTATTTTTACAGGAAAGAGAACACAAAATTTATTATGCTTCATGCATAGCACTATCAGACTACAGCATGGCATATGTAGGTATAACAGATGGGAGATCAGCTCTCCTGTGTCAGAGACCTAGAGCAGGCTGGCCGCAAACCACAGGGATCTGCCTGCCTTTGCTTCCTGAGTATTAGAATTAAAGGCATGAGCCACTATCCATTATTTTATTTTTTAGTTATGTGTGTGTATCTGTGGGTTTGTGTACATGAATGTAATGCTTGAGGAGGCTGGAAGATACCAGATCTGGAGGTGGAGTTAGAGGTGCTTGTTAACCAACCTGTATGGATCCTGGGACTGAATCAGGTTCTGGAAGAGCAATGCACTTTTAATTATTGAGCTATCTCTCCACTCCCAAGATTTATGTTTGCTTGCTACTCTCTCGATCCCTCTCTCTTTGGAGGCAGGGTCTTGCTGTGTAGCCCATTCTGACCTTGAACTGTTCTTCTTTCCTTAGACTCTTGAGTTATTATTTTCTTTATTCACTTGTTCACTGATTTGTTCATTTATTTTTGCAGTCCTAGGGATTAAATTTACGGCCTTTTGCATTCTAGGCAATGTTCTACCACTGAGCTACATACTTGCATTTGATTTTCTTGAGGCAAGATCCCTGTAGCTCCAAGTGATGTGAAACTCATTCTAGCCCCGTGGGGTCTCAGATTCACTGAGATCCTCCTACCTCAGCCTTCTGAGTACTGGGGTTGCAGGCTGGTTACACACCTGGTACAGGCACTTCATTTTTTAATAGTGTATTTATTTTGGTTTTTTGGAGTTAGGGTTTCTCTGTAGCCCTGGCTTTCCTAGAACTCATTCTGTAGACCATACTGGCCTTGAACTCACAGAGAACCAACCACCCTGCTGCTACCTGAGTGTTGGGATTAAAGGTGTGTGCCACCTGGCATTATTTTAATCCTTTTTAAAGAAAAGGTTTAATTTATATTATGTGTATGGGTGTTTTGCCTGTGCATGCAGTTTCTGTGGATGCCAGAAGAGGGTGTTGGATTCCTTGGAACTGGGATTGTAGGTGGTTGTGAGCTGTCATGTGGGTGCTGAGAATTGAACCCAGGTCCTTTGGAAGAACTGCAAGTGCACTTAGTGGCTAAGCCATCTTTTCAGGTCCAAATAGCAGTCTTAAAGGTGACGTTTGGCAACCAAGGTTTTAGGTAATTTTCTAGTTTTACAGAGATTGAGTCTCCTCATCTAAAAGGGGGTAAAAGGATATAGTTTTGCATGGCTGTCATAAAGGTTAGTGATAATGTATACATAATGATTAGCATATTATAAACATTTGATTAAGGTTAGATATCCCTGTTATGAAGCCTAATAGGGCTGAGATGACCAGTATTGAGGATGTGATGATGTCTCTGTTCTTTCCTGTACCTGTTACTGCTTTGTTAAAATTGTACTAGATAATTATAATTTAATTTTAGGTTTTGCTTTTTCATAGTATCCAACTCCATAGCAACAGCCTACTGTTTGTGTGAGCTCTGTCAGTTGATGTTTAACACAGTGTGACGTTTTTAACTGGTTTGTTTTTAAACCAAAGACCAACACTAAAGGTTGGTTATACTCAGTGACTAGTATCATTAGTATCTCATTGATGATCTGGTAACATGGGCCAGTGTGCCAGTGTTGCAACAAGGCTGACAGGCTTTGGTGTTTATTGACACACTTGAAGTTCAGCTTTGGCAGTATTAGAATGACTGTTAGGTCATCCTTGAATAGTGGAAGTGCATATTCTAAAACTCATCTCTAGTGATGATACAAATAAAGTGTTCATTTGTAGCAGAGTGGTAGTCATTCTGTTGACAATAGGCTGTTTTGTGAAGCTGCCTGTGTTAATAAACAACAAGGACTGATGGAATGAAGAAATGCTAATGTTCACGTGAGAGATAATTTTAGTTCCTAGAAACGAGAATAAAAAAGATCTTGCCTGTTTTCAGGATTTTCAGTGTCCCAGGGTGCTAATGTGACCTAGATATTTAAGTAGTGAAGTTGGGTGACTAGACTTTGTCCTGCAAAGGATTTCCAACTCTTAGAGTAATGTCTGCCTTAGGACTAAAGCAATGAATAGTCAATTTTGTTAATAAAATCTAAGAATCAGTTTTCATAGGTTTCTGTTTATTCCCTTCACTGGTCTTTCCTTTGCTTCGTATGCAGTGTTTTTTTTTTTTTGTTTGTTTGTTTTTTTTGGTGACAGGTTATAGTTCCTCATTAATAAATCATGTGCTATAGCTTATTAGAATGAGAGAGTATGTTTGTGTGTTTGAGGGGTCTTGCTTTAGAGAGTCTTGATCTGTATGTACTCTGGCTGCTTGGCATTCACTGTGTAGACATGGATGGCCTTGAACTTGCAAGATCTTTCTGTTCCTGCCTCTTTTTTTTTTAAGGTTTATTTATTTATTATGAATACAACATCCTACTTCCATGTATGTCTGCAGGCCAGAAGAGGGCACCAAATCTCATTGTGGAGGGTTGTGAGCCACCATGTGGTTGCTGGGAATTGAACTCAGGACCTCTGGAAGAGCAGGCAGTGCTCTTAGCCCCTGAGCCATCTCTCCAGCCCTCCCTGCTTCTGCCCTCCCTGCTTCTGCCTCTTATTTTGTTGAGATTGCAGGTATATGCTTGCATGCCTGACCATAGACTTTAGTTTTGTACAACTGAGACTCAAACCCAGGGTTCCTGTGCACACTAGGTAAACACTGTACCACTGAACTATACTCCTAACCCTGCATATTTGTAGTGTGAGTGGGGGGTCTTCAAAGAGAGATAGGGAGGCACTTTTCAATAACTTTAAATTTTTGAAATTATGTATAATTATATCGTTTCTCATTTCACCCTTTCCTCTTTTGCTTTCCTATGCACCCCTTGCTCTCAAATTCATGCTCTCTCTTATTCTTATTCTTTTTTTTTTTTTTTAAATTCGTGTCAGGGTTTCTCTGTATAGCTTTGGTGCTTGTCTTGAAACTCGCTTTTTGGCAAGGCTGGTCTCAAACTCACAGAGATCTGCCTGCCTCTGCCTCCCGCGTGCTGGGACTAAAGGCGTGCACTGCTGCTGCCCGCCTGGTTTCTTTCTCTTTGATTGTTGCTACTGGTGGTGATTATGGTGTATGTGTGTGTGTGTTTCTGTCTTGTCTGTCCGTCCGTCCTGGAACTCAAATTGTAGACCAGGCTGCCCTCAAACTCACAGATAATCTGCATGTCTCTGTCTCCTGAGTGCTGAGATTAAAGACATACATCACTATGCTATACCTAGCATTTTTTTTTTTTTTTTGAGACAGGGTTAGGCTATATCACTCCCCGGCTGTCCTAGAACTTGCTCTGCAGACAAGGTTGGCCTTGAATTCACAGAAATGGCTGCCTCTGTCTCCTGATTGCTGGGATTAATTACATCTTCTAGACCACTTAATGAAAAAAAATTACAGAAATGCATCATTCCTAGATAATATAAGGGCAATATTGCATGTATAAAAGAAAAAAGTTGAAGATTGAGAAGATTGCTCTGTCAGTAAAATGCTTGCTATGAAAACATGATGACTGTTTTAGTTAGGATTTCTATTGCTGTGAAGAGACACCATGACCATTGCAACTGTTATAAAGGAAAACATTAAGTTGGGGCTCACTTACATTGCAGATTCCATCCATTGTCATCATGGTGGGATGTAGTGGCATGTACGTAGACATGATGCTGGAGAAGTAGCTGAGAGTCCTACATCTTACAGGCAACAGAAATGATCTGAGCAAAACTTGAGCAATGGAAACCTCAAGTCCACACCCACAGTGACACACTTCTTCCAACAAGATCACACCTACTCTATCAAACCTCCTAATAGTGCCACTCCCTTCGGTGGCCATTTTCTTTCAAACCACCACAGTGACCTCAGGTTGTTCACCTAATGTCCTTGTAAATGCCTGGTCAGTGGTGTATTCCTGTAATCTCCCTGCCTGAAAAGCAGAGAGGAGCATTCATTCCCTGAGGTTTGAACTCCAGGTTCAGGGCCAACCTGGAAGAGTAGTGGCCATCTGGCACAGTGCTCTTTCAGAACATGGTCCCTGAGTGGCTGCTGAGCCGTGAATGATTTGTTATTGCCCACAGGTATAAAGACCTTGTGCCATTTGGTTAGTTCATATTTCTTTCCCTGAATTGTTATTTTGAAAGCTATTCCTAGTAAATTCCCTGGATTTTCAATCCTGGATTTTCACAGCTCCACTGCAGAATAACATTGAGAAGTTGCAAGGCAGTAATTAAATTACTGGCTACACACTTGAGAAAACACTTTCAAATTTTGTTTTAGAAAGTGTTTCTAGGTTATTAGGGTTTTTTTTGTTAATTTCTAAAATTTTACGTTTGAAAATGTAAGATTTACACATAGTATGATGAGATATTACATCAGCCAGTGTATTGGAGTAGGATATGAATATATTTAGTGTCTTACTTGAGTATGGATTTCTTCAATGTCTAAGATTGACTTTTATTTCTGCCACTGAAGAAGATGGAGTTAGCCCACCCTTTTATTAACTTGATTGGTTCCACAGGAGTAAAATACAATATTTGGTTTAGTATTAGTTCTTGGGGGTTTGACTTTGGTTTTATGTACCCTGACTATTCTCTGGAACCCTGGGTGAAGAAGAGGCTGGCCTCAGAACTAATAGATCTGCCTGCTTCTGCCTCCCCAAGTGGGGAGATAACACCTGGCTGTTAACTAAACTTCTTTTTTGGTTTTTCAAGACGGATTTCTTTGTGTAGCCCTGGCTGCTCTGGAACTCACCCTGTAGACCAGGCACAGAATCTATCTGCCTGCCTCTGCCTCCTGAGTGTTGGGACTAAATGTGTGTGCCACCAACCTCCTGGCTACATTTTTATGCCCCCCCCAATTTTTGAGTGAGGTTTTGAAGAATTGTGTTAGGGCCAATGATGTTAGAGATGGGAAAAAAATTGCCAGCACTTGTAAAACACTTAGCATCAAGAGCTTTGTTCTTTCAGAGACTGTCTTATGGCACTGATGTTGGTACTGTACCCTTAGCAGGCAAGAGAAGTGTCAGTTAGGCACATGGCTTATCCAGCTAAGACAGGAAACAGACCGAAATTGGAACAGAGGCACTTTTAACCCCTGTGCTGTGCTATATGTGTGGATGCAACAATTCTGGTGGATAACTACCCCTATCCATAGGCTCTGAAGGTGTTAAGCACCCCTGTGTGTCCGCTGTTGTGTGAATGTTGAATGTTAGGAAATCCAAATAGACATTGGGCCCCTAGTGTAGCTGTTTGATAGGGCGAAGGAGCAGTGCAGCACAGTGGTACACACTAATCAGTCTGTCTTTTTCTCTACTCCTCAGTCTTAATTTCAAAGACCCTGAAGCAGTCAGAGCTCTGACTTGTACTCTCCTAAGAGAAGACTTTGGACTTTCTATTGATATTCCTTTAGAGAGACTAATTCCTACAGTTCCCTTAAGACTCAACTATATTCACTGGGTAGAAGATCTGATTGGTCACCAGGCCTCTGACAAAAGCACTCTCCGAAGAGGAATTGACATAGGTAAGTTTATGGTTCTTACTTCTTTTAGGGGCTAAAAGTACGTTTCATAGGTTTTGCATTGTCAGACTGTTTCTAAGCTCTTCTAGTAATTGTTGTGAAAGCAGCTTTTATTTGTTCCACATGGACATTTCTGTGTTTGGTTTCTCTTGAGAAGTGATGTCCTTATCAGTTAAGGAACAAGGGGCTAAGAGAAGTGTGGAAGGAGAGAGATCCTTGTCTACCTAGCTTTCAAATTTCCACCTTAAGTTTGTGTTTATTGGGCTTTGTCTACTCTGTTACTAAATAATTCTTTATTATTATTATTATTATTATTTTATTTAGTTTTTTCAGACAGGGCTTCTCTGTTTCACTCTGGTTGTCCTGGAGGTTGGCTTCAAACTTAGAGATCCTCCTGCCTCCTGCCTCTGCTTCTTGGGTGCTGAACCTTTTTTCTTTTGTTTTCCACAGTCTTTTAGACCCTCAGGCCTTTGTATATGTTATTTGCTGTGCCTCAAACTTCTCCCATCTTCATTCTGTTCCCGTTTATACTATACTTGTCAATTCAAGCCTGCTTTCTTTGACATTGCAACTTACGAAAAGTTACTTTCTTGGTCATAATGCTTGGCTAATATTTTTATTTGCTACTAGACTGCAAAGTAGTTAAACTCCCAAGGTCTAGTGAAGTTGTTGGATGAAGGTATTCTTTTAACATTCAGATTCTAAGTACTTCATGGGAGCTAAGTACTGGAGAACTTATGGAGTTCATTTGAAGTTCTTTTTTTATAGTCATGGTGGAAGATGGCTGATGGGTCCTGGGCAGCTAAAAACTTGACTTGAAAAGTGTGGTGGCAGGTACTTGTGATCTCAGCACTTCGGTTGCGACAGTGGCAGGCAGGATAGCAAGTTCCAGGCCAACACTTGTCTGGGTTATGCAGTGAGTCCATAACTAGGGAGGAAGTGGGGGAAAAGGGACTATAGCCTATTTGGTGCTAATTGCATTTCAATTATGCCCCAAACCCTCTGAAGTAGCACTTGGGGATACATGAGGTTAATGGATTTTAGCTCTTCACAAGGGGCAATGCTTGCTGAAATCATATTCTTACTAATTAGGGTTCTATATAAATTCTTCTCCCAGACTCCATCGGTTTGATCTAATTCTATGACTATGCTTTCCATTTTTATTTATCATTATAAAGATTATTACCCACTTAAAATGTCCTTTGGTGTCTGAGGATATCAGAATGTCAGGATGCAAGCGTTTGGTCTTCAGGGTTGAAAAACAATTTCAGGAGGGTAAAGGGATGATAGGTCTTTACTTGCATTTTTTCCCCCCTTTGAGACAAAATTAAAGCATTCTAAATGACTCCAACTCTCCATAATGCCCAGGCCTAAACAATTGACTCTTGAGGAGCTGGGTATCCTCTTCCCTTTTTCCACCTCCCCAGTCCCCAAGGAGGTGTTTGCCTGCCTAACAGCACCAGGGCCAGGAGACAATAACTGTGGCTGACAAAGAGGTTAAGGGTTGCAGCCATTAATTTGATCTGTTTCGCAGCCTGCTAAGAATAGGCCATGAGAAAGTGAAGGATGAGTGGGCTTCTCTGGGATTGGAGCACCTCCAGACCCTGCAGAGCCACAGTGGAATCAGTTTGTGGTCAGGGGAAAACAGCCCTGGAGCAGCTGGTCCAGGCTGTAGCCATTGGGAGAAACCCTAGCTTTCCTTCCATTGGGTATATTCAATGTGATCTAATAGATCAAGACTTGTCAGTGGTTGTATAGGCAGCTTTGGGGGTGGGAAAGTAGACCAGTCCAGGCTTAGGGGCTCTACATGTAAATTTAGGAATAAATACTGGCCGCTGAAGCTGATTTTCTTTTTCTCCCCGAGAAGCATTGGTTTCTCATTATGTCTATTGAACCGTGTGCTAGGGCTAGTCAGTGACTGACATTCTATACCACCACAGGGAGCCTGATCTTGTGATGCCATGGAAATTGCACATACACACCATTCTTCTGCTTTTCGTTGCATAGTCTCTGTTTTCCTCCCTTTTCTTTGAGATCGGGTCCCAGACTCACAGTTGTCTTGCCTGTGCTTCACATCCCTGTCACAGGTGTGTGGTGTGCCACAATGCTCAGCTTATGTTGATTTCTTTTACGATACTACTGTGGTGTTTTACAGATACTTTGAATTGAGGAAATTGAGTTTTGTATGGAACATAAAGACTTTATAAACAAATAAAAATTTATTATAATAAAGTACTTTAGCCACGTTAGGTTTATAAGCTGTGTTTTCCTGGGCCTCCAGTTGCCCACACTTCATTTTACACATAGCATGTAAGAATAGGGCAGGAAGGTTTCTGTCCCCTAGGAAGTTTGTGCTTAGGGGGTTAGACTCGCAAGTGAAATGAGGAGCAAGGCCAGTAGCCACAGAATATCCTCACTTGTGGAGACTTGAAGGGTTTTAGTGTTCTCACCTTGCCCTCTCAAATGTGGGGTGTGCTTGTATTTTTATTTACTAGGTACTGGGGCGTCCTGCATTTATCCCTTACTTGGAGCAACCTTAAATGGCTGGTATTTCCTGGCAACAGAAGTGGATGACATGTGCTTCAATTACGCCAAGAAAAATGTGGAACAGAATAACCTATCTGATCTCATTAAAGGTTGGTTCTTCTGAATAAGCAGTATTTCAAGCTTTGTTTATTAAAACTTCTCTAATTTAAAATGCCTTCTTATTATCTTCTGTGGGTTTTTTGTTTGCTTTGAGACAGGGTCTCTCTGTATCTCTGGCTGCCCTGGAAATCACTTTGTAGACCAGGTTGACCTTGAACTCAGAGATTCTACTACTGCCTCAAGATGAGTGCCACGATACCTGTCTTCTTTTTTTTTGTTTGTTTTTTTTTGTTTGTTTGTTTGTTTGTTTTTTCGAGACATGGTTTCTCTGTGGCTTTGGAGGCTGTCCTGGAACTAGCTCTTATAGACCAGGCTGGTCTCGAACTCACAGAGATCCGCCTGGCTCTGCCTCCCGAGTGCTGGGATTAAAGGCGTGCGCCACCAACGCCCGGCCTGTCTTCTTTTCTTAAATGTATATACTCTACATTTTAAATAATCTGGTATATTGTAATTGGTTTTGATGCCAGAATTAACTCAGGAGGAATATAGTAAGTATAGTTGATCCTCATTTCTGTTTTGTGAATTTGTCCTCTGTCTTGGTTCCTGTTCTGTTGCTGTGATAACTGATAACCAAGGCAGTTTTTGGTTTATTTGGGATGTACAGTTTCAGAAGGTTAGACTTCACAACCTTCATGGTGGCAGGCAGGCAGGCATCGTGCTAGAACGTATCCTGAAAAACGGTTGCAATGGTGGGTTTAAGACTTTTGAAACCTCAAAGCCCACTCCAGTGACTCACCTTCTCCAACAAGGCCACATCTCCTAATTTTGATGTGTGGGGGAGGCCCATTCTCATTCAAAATATCATACCTTCTTTTTAATTAGTTAAGTAGATTTTTTTCCCCAGTGGATAATTCTTAAAAATTTGTTATGTTGATGCTGGGCAATGGTGGCACACACTTTTAATCCCAACATTTAGGAGGCAGAGGCAGGCGGATCTCTGAGTTAGAGACCAGCCTGGTCTACAGAGCCAGTTCCAGGACAGCCAGAGCTACACAAAGAAACCTTGTTTTGAAAAACAAACCAAACAAAAACCATTTGCTATGTTGAGGTTGGAGAGATGGCTTAGGGGTTGAGAGTGCTTACTCTTTCTAGCACTCAGGTGGTAGTTCAAAACTGTCTAACTCTTTTTTTTTGGGGGGGGGGGTTTGAGACAGGGTTTCTCTGTGGCTTTGGAAGCTGTCCTGGAGCTCACTTTGTAGACCAGGCTGGCCTCGAACTCACAGAGATCTGCCTGCCTCTGCCTCCCGAGTGCTGGGATTAAAGGCGTGCGCCACCAACGCCCGGCAACTGTCTAACTCTTAGTTTTCAGATCTTATGTCTCTGGCTTCTGAGGGCAACAGGCATGTACATAGTGTACATACATATACCTAAACATGTATTTTTGTAAAGTAGCACTTATAGTCATAAGATCAAAATGTTGATCTCCTTTAAAAAGTGTTGAAGATGTTTTATGACCCACAGTATCACATACTTATCCAAGATTTTTACATAAAAATGAATAAGCATAGCATATCCATTTCTACTGCAAATTTCCTTTCACAGTCAATGAATGGAAAAATTATATTTATGCCAAATTGTTGCTTTATACTTGTTTGATTTTTGTGCCTGTGAGTTGTTTATTTTAGTGTAGGCTGGTCTTGAACTTTGTGTAGCCGAGCATGACCTTGAATTTGCTGATCTTGCTTCTATCCAAATGCTGGGATTACAGGTGTCTATCCCTATATATGGTATAAGGGATTGATACTGGCTTTCTGCGTGCTAAGCAATCACTATGAACTGAGCTACGCTTCCACTACCACTTTACATTTGTTTTTTTTTTTTTTTTTTTGAGACAGGGTGTCTTTGTATTCCAGTCTGGCCTTAAAATCATTGTGTGGCTGAAGATGACCTGGAACTCCAGAAATATAGATCTGGACTATCATGCCTACTTATATATTTGTTTTATAGACCTGTACACCTGGAATCACATAAAAATTTCTCAGGTGCTGGGCAGTGGTGGCTCATACCTTTAATCCTAGCACTTGGTAGGTGGAGGCAGGCAGATCTCTTTAGTTTGAGGCCAGCCGGGTCTATAGAGGGAGTTCCAGGATAGCCAGGACTGTTGGACAGAGAAAGAAACCCTGTCTTGAAAAGCCAACAAAACAAGAAGTCTCAGGCAAAGGGGGATGTGAGTGCTAAACAACCTCTGGTTTAGATTTCATCAAGACTGGTGATGACACAGGGCAAGTCTAATATAATATAACTGTTTCAAACAGCTCTGTCTATGGCTGTGCCTTCAGAGCTGAGGCAACCACTTAACAGTAGTTTTCTTTTTTTGTTTTGTTTTTTTGAGACAGGGTTTCTCTGTGTAGCTTTGTAGACCAGACTGGCCTAGAACTCACAGAGATCCTCCTGCTTCTGCTTCTTGAGTGCTAGGATTAAAGGCGTGTGCTGCCACTACCTGGCCTCTTATGATAGTTTTATAGTTTCTTAATGCATCTGTGGAGCACTGTTTGGGATGGCTGGTACTAAGTCCTAGTCCTTTTGCTCAGAGCAGCTAGGGAGAGTCCTGGCCTCTTGGGTTGCTTGCTGGGAAATGAACATCAGGAGGAGTATATACACTGTAAATTTAAGGTAGGCTTGATAGCACTGGTTATCTTAGCTACTTGGGAGACTGAGGAATGAGGATCTCAAATTGAAGGTTCACCTGGTCTACAAAGCAAGTTCAAGACCAGTCTGTACACTTAGTGAGAATCTGCCCCAAAATAAGACATTTCAAAAGGAGCTGAGGATTTATTGCATTGGCACAGCACTTGTCTCATACTTTTGAGGTTCAACCAGCAGTACTATAAAAGCACATAGAAATTTCAAGGACTCATTAGCACTAATGATGATTTTGAACCACGCTTGAGCAGATTTATTATACCTGCCCAGTATGCTAATGAAAGGTAGTTCCCTTTCTCTCTCAGTCCTGCCTCAGTCTTCTGAGTAGGGAGTGCAGCCACGATCGCTACCTAAACTTTAGAACTGGTTTGTTAATAGCCAAAATTTGAAAGTCTTTTTGGCTTGTTTTTGTTGTGTTTTTTCCTTTCATGGTTTCATTCGTGTGTTAGGAAGGATGGACTCAGCTGAGACTGGGAGTGTGAGTGGGTAAGGTCAGAGAACTCGCAGGAGTGGGTCCTCTCTTCGCTGTAGGGATGGGTGAGTTCCCGGTTTGTGCTTCCGGCTGAGGTTAGCAGGGTTGTAGTCTGTCCTGGTGGTGGTTTTGTTATGAACAGGTATAGCTTTTGCTTTTTAGTGCTGCATTCGTTGAGTGCATTTTTATGCTGTTTTTTAGGGACTTCAACATTTCAGTTGACCACTAAACAGTGCTGAAGTGTGTTTGTATGTGCCATAAAGAAAATACATTTCATTTAGATAAGTTATAGTGAGTCAGCAATACATATTTTTAAACTTTTAATTGAAAATATTGTCTTTGTATGGATATTTAACCCGCATATATGCCTTTGCACCACATGCATGCCTGGTGCCCAAGGAGACTGGAAGACGGGGGCAGATTTCCTGAAACTGGAGTTAAAGACAGCGGTGCACCAACATGTGGGTGCTGGGAATAGAACCCCGTCCTGGAGAAAAGCAGCCAGTGCTTTTAACTACCAAGCTATTTTTCTAGTCGCTCCCTCCCACCCCTGCCCTACATTCCTCTTTTGAGACAGGGTCTCACTGGATAGCCTACCTATGTAGACATTTGCTGGAACTAGGCCAACTCCTCCTTGTGATCATTTACATTTTCTGACCATTATATTGTGACATAGCTTTCAATTTTTTGAAGATTTATTTTTTGTGAAAAAGTGTTTTGCTACATGTATCTGTGTACCACATGCGTGCCCGGTGCCTTCAGATGTCAGAAGGTGTTGGTTCCTTTGGAACTGGAGTTCCAGGTGATTATCAACTACCATGTGGGTGCAGGGAATGGAATGTGGGTCCTGGAGAGGAAATGAATGTTCTTAACCATTCTCTAGGTCCTTATGATTAATTTTAAAATTATAATTAGTTTAGTTTTAGCAAAATGAACATAACAGAATTGTGAGAAATGAACATTACAGAAAACTGAGAATTTTCAAAAGGATAGGGTTTGTTCCAGGGGGGGGGAAACCTTTTCTTTTATTAAGCACATTTTACTATGCCTCTTTATAAAAGAAATAACACTTCCTACTATTGTTAACACGTACGGTAAGGGGAATGTTGCTAGGATCAATGTGTCTGCTTAATTCTCCATTTCTGCAGTTCTGTCCCTTACTGGGAGTGCTGTGAAGGAATTTATATGCACATGCTTGTCTTTATTTTCTTCCTCAGTTGTGTATTTTGTGCACTTATTTTTAAAGTCATTACAAAATAAATAGTAACTAACAGTCCCTGTTTTCTCCCCTAGTGGTAAAAGTGCCACAGAAGACACTCCTAATGGATGCACTTAAAGAAGAGTCTGAGATAATCTATGACTTCTGCATGTGCAATCCTCCCTTTTTTGCTAATGAGTTGGAAGCCCAGGTAACACATCTTTAAAGTTATAGAACACTTAGTGATTTTACCTAATTTTCAGAAATAAAAACAAAAGGCAGTTTTTCTTTAGAGTTAGTATAATTCATAATGCTGTTTGGTTTGAGATTTATGAGCCCAGTACAGATGGACTTGACAGTTAAAAAAGGTAATTTATGTAGCTGTGAAAACCCCAGTTATTTAGGCTTCAGGAAGAGTTTGATCAGTGAGTTTACAGTATCATAAGGGCTGAGGCTTTTGTTTCTACCTTCTTCCCCTTGGCTCTGGCTGGCCCTCTGCTGTCTTTTCGTAGAGTTGTTTGATTGTGGTTAAACAATACTTAGGGGGAGAAGAGAGTGAAGAGAGAGCTCTTTCTTTCCTAACCCTTGAACTTAAAACCGTTTCTAAATGTAGATTTATTATTTATTTTATGTATATGAGTTTTTTCCTTTATGAATGTTTGTGCACCATATGGGTGCCTCGTGCCTTCAGAGGCTAGCCCCTGGGTTGTGTGGTTGTGAGCCACCGTGTAGGTGCTGGGATTGGACACACATCCTACGGAAGAACATCCTGTTTTCTCAACCTCTGAGCCGTCTCATACTTTGAGTTTTTAAAAATTGAGCCAAGGTAGGTTGCAGTTTTTGCCATTTGGTAGTGAATAAATGACTCAATAGTGAAAAAATGTACTTGCTTTTAGATATTGAAAAAAATTGGATAAAATGAACTGATGTGTGGGAGACTGAGGCAGGAGGATTGCCAAGTTCCAGACTAGTCTGAACTTGGAGTAAATTTAAGCCTGTTTGAAGCAATTTAGTGAGACCCTATCTCAAAATTTTAAAAAGAGGGCTAGGAATGTGTCTCAGTGGTAGAGTATTTGCTTAGTATGTGAAAGGCCCTATCTTCAAATCTTAGCACTATAACAACCAAAACATAGTGTATTGAAAAATTCAGCCGGTGGTAGTGGAAAAATTCAGCCAGGCAGTGGTGGTGCACGCCTTTAATTCCAGCACTTGGGTGGCCGAGGCAGGTGGATCTCTGTGGGTTCAAGGCCAGCCTAGTCTCCAGAGCTAGTTCTAGGACACCAGAGCCTCACAGAGAAACCCTGTCTCATAAAACAAAACAAAAAACAAACAAAAAATTTCAGTACAGGGCCTGGAGAGTTGGCCCACCAGTTAAGAGCACTTGCTGTTCTTGCAGAGGACCTGAGTTTGGTTCCCAGCACCCACATATAGCTCACCACCTATCTGTAACTTCAGTTCCAGGGAATCTGACACCTTCTGGACTTCTTGGGGACCAGATAATTAACATATATGCAGACACTCATGCACATAAAAATTTAAGTTGTTATTGTTGCTATTGTAGACAGGATCTCACCATGTAGTCTGGAGCTCACAGTTTTTTTCCTCTCAAATACTGGTGGTGTACACTGTCATGCTTAGGTCAAAAATAAATTCTCAGAATAATTTTTTGACAAAGTGGGGCAATTTGAGCAAAAATTTATTAGGAATACTAACATTCCTGGTTAGAAAATAAAGGGAAGTACATTTAAAATAATTAAAAATTTAGCTTTCATGTAAGTTTATGAAGAAAAGTAACCACACCCTGTAATAAAATTTATTAAAAGTGTTGTTTTTCTACATTCAAGGAATATATAGATAGGAGCTTTAGGAAGAATTTATGGCATAGCACTGAGAGCAGCTGATGATTTTTACCTGCTGAACCACCTTTTCAGCCCCGAAATATCTTCTTATTCTATTGTCTTCTTAAATTTGAGGCAGGTATTAATAAGTTGCCCCTCTGGCCTGCCAGACAGTTTTCTACATTGACAGCTGCTCATGTTCCAGCCACGGTCCCTCAACACTTCTTAACACTTTTGTATGCCACCCCAGTGGATGTGGAATGGTGTTTTCCTGACGCTGACTGTGCTGAGCATCTTTTCATGTGCTTAGTGACGCTTTGCTCATCTTCATGGAATAATGCCGTTCAGATACCTCCTCCCTTACCCTCTCCCAAAGTGGGGGTCTCTAATTAGCATTCACAGCTTGTGCTAAACTCTCTACACTGACCTGATTAGTAACCCTGTACTCTTTGACCACTTTTGTGTGTTTTGCAACAAAAATGGCTTTTGAAACTAGGGCCATGCACATACTGGACAAACATTTTACAATTTGGTTATTTTTCTCCCTACTGAGTTTCCTTTAAATATCCTAGATACAAGTCCCTTTAATTACAATGATTTGCAAACATTTTTTCCTATTCTGTCATTTGTCTTGAATTTATATTTTTTTTGCTTGTTTGTTTTTCAAGACAGGATTTCTCTTATGTAGCCCAGTCTGGCCTTGAACTCAGAAATCTGTCTTCCTCTGCCTCCTGAATGCTGGGATTAAAGCCATACACCATCACCACATGGTTTGTCTTCAGTTTTTGTTGTTATCCTTTACAGTGAATCTAATTTTAGTTTTGTATTAATACAATTTATCTATTTTGTGTTGTTCTTATGCTTTTTAGTGTTGTATCTAAGAAACCATTGGCTAATCCAAGTTAATGAAAATTTACTTTTATGTTTTCTTCTTGGGAGTTTATAGTTTTAGAATTTACATTTATGTCATTGATGTATTTGAGTTAATTTTTTCATATGAAGTGAGAGGTAAGGATGGATTAAATACTTAAATATAAAAAGCAGAACCATAAAAGTATTAGAAGAAAACATAAGTAAATATTGATTTAATCTTTGGGTAGATTTCCTGGCCATGGTATCAAGACAAAGCATAAAGGAAAAGCAACAGATTGGGCTATATAAAAGGTAAATGTTTTTATATTTAATCCCCAGGGCCTTATGCATGCTAGGCAAGTGCTTTATCACCAAACTACAGCCCCCAGCTGGCTGTGTGACCTTTTAAATCTTCAGTGTAGCACAATAATATCTAAATTGCATCAAAGACCATGGCTTTTGTTGTTGTTCAGGGTGTAAACTCTCGGAATTCTCGACGACCTCCCCCAAGTTCCGTAAATACAGGAGGCATCACAGAAATCATGGCAGAAGGAGGTGAACTAGAATTTGTTAAAAGGATAATCCATGATAGTTTACAACTTAAAAAAAGATTAAGGTAAGTAGGAATATTTATCTTACATCATCCTGCAGAAACTATGTCACTTTAAGGAAAAATAATCACTGGGACTAAAAAATAACTAGATAACGTCCAAAAGACCACACAGATAAAGGGACGGAAATCCCAGATGATTGTATTACTCCCATTAGTGTGGTCCTGTGATGGAACAAAACTGACTCAAATATGGCTTTTGATTAGAAAACAGATGGGTTCAAATCTGTCCCATGAACCAGAATCAATTTGTTTCCTAGTCCTTGAAGCAATTGAGGTTCTTGGACTCAGTTTCCTAAACAGTGACAGATGTGAGGACATTGAGCTGTCAGGAATTTAATGAAGAGAAACAGATTACCACCCTCTCCAGAGATGGGTTAGGACTGTTCTGTTTTAAAAGCTAATTATTTTGGACAACACACCTGTCATTAGGCAGTGTTCGGCAGGCACTCAAACGGAGTGCCCTCTCGTGTCACTTTGCACCCTGCCACATGTTGATATGGTGGATAATGTGGTAGTTAAAAGCTAAAAGGAGCTTAGTCCAAGGATTTGTGATGAGAAAGTGTCCATTTATTTATTTTTGCGTGTGGGAAAAACATAATAAAATTTACTATCCAGTATTTTTGGAAGGTTTATTGAGGGAAGAGGGCAAGTTGAGGAGAATGAACTCAAGGCCTCACCTTGGCAGGCACATACCATCACTAATATACACCTCATCCTCATATTAGCAAATCTTTTTTTTTTTTTGTTAATGTATAGGGGTATTTTGCCTGCACGTGTATGTATATGTAACATGTGAGTGTGTGGTGCCTGAGGAGGATAGAAGATAGAGATTCCCTTGGAGTAGAGGTATAAATGGTTGTGAGACTTCATGTGGGTTCTGGGAATCAAACCCTGGTTCTTTGGAAGAGCAGCCAATGTGCTCAAACAGTGTACCATCAGATTAACAAGCTTTAAAGTCTATAGTTAAAGAGTTTTAAGAACATTCATATTGTTGTGCAACTAATCTCCAGACCTCTAAGTAATTTTGGTTTTCATTTTGTTTCTTTTGAAACAAGGTCTCTCTATATAGCCCTGGCTATCCTAGAACTTACTCTGTAGATCAGTCTCGCATCAGTCAAACTCGAGATCCACCTGCCTCTGCCACCCGAATGCTGTGATCAAAGTCACATGCCACCATGCAGGTTCAGAACCCTTGGTTTTCCAGAGCTGCACCTGTTAAACAGCTCCCTGTTACTTCTGTCTTGTAGCGACTATCTTCTGTCTTTGAATTTGACTGCTCTGTACCAAATCTATGTGAAGCCACACACACACACTATTGTCATTTTGTAATTGTCTTATTTCGTTTAGTATAATGTTTCATGCTTTATCTATGTCGTAACTTGTTAGAGTTCTCTTCCTTTTGTGAAAAGTCAAATATTTTTCTGTTTTTGGTTTTTTGTTGTTGTTGTGTTCTGTTTGTTTGCAACAAGGTCTTGATATAGATCCTGACTGGGACTTGCTGTGTAGCTTAGGCTGGCCTGACTTGTGGTGTTCTTTCTGTTTCTGCTTCCTAGGATTATAGGTGGGAACCACCATACCCAATTTAATATTCCATTACATGTATAAACCACATTTTATTTATTCATTCATCTCATGGCTACTTGTGTTGCTTTTAAAAATCCTTTGGCGCTTGAGTGAGGCGGTACGAGTATGGGTGTACAAATACCTTTTCAAGATCCTGTTTTCAATTCTGTTGGTTGTTTACCCAGAAGTGGAATTACTAGGTAGGAAAATTTTTTTCCCCTTTGTATCTGTGTCTAAAGCTGCTTCGATACCTGTGATCATGGATGGCACTTACATAGGCAGGCAGGCAGGCAGGAGGGTTGTGGGTCAAGGACAGATTGGTCTATATGACAGACTTCTTAGTTTAGTAAATTCCAAATCAGCAAGTATTCTGATTTGGTGGTGTGAGCTTATGTAAGTGGTATGGAAAGCAGTTTGAGGAGTCTGTAGACATGTTTCAACGCTTAAGAGGACTTAGCTGTGCAGTGACGAGGGCCAGAGCTCTTGTCCCAGAGCCCACATAATGAACTGGGCATCTAGAACACACCTGCAACCCCATCTAGGAGGAGTACAGAGAGACAGAAGGGTCACAGTGGCTTGTGGGTTTATAGCCTAGCAAGAAAACACTGCCCTCTACCCCAAGTTCAGGGAGAGAGCCTGCTTCAAAGGAAGGTGGAATATGATAGGGACACCTTGAACCCTCTTCTGGCTTTATATGTACATAGGAACCTGCTCTGCCCACTCACACAAATACATATATAAGCAAATCTTGAAAAACCAAGCAAACAGACAGAAAAGTTAAACATTACAGAATGCTGGGATTAAAGGCTGTGCCACGAATGCTTGCCTCAGATTAAAAACAAATATTTTAGCTGGGTGTGGGTTACGTGCCTTGTAATTCCAGCATTAGCAATTAGAGACAAGATGATCAGAGGTTCAAGGCCAGCCTTGGCTACATGAGACTGTCTCAAAGAAAGAAAGGAAGGAAGGAAGGAAGGAAGGAAGGAGGGAGGGAAGGAAGGAAAAACAAAAATCTCCAAGCATCCATACCATTTGCTGTTATTTATTTATTTACATGAGTTGGAGAAACGATTTAATGGTTAAAACACTTTTACTTCTTTTAGAGGATTCAGGATCAGTTCCTGGCATCCATCATAACCATCTGTAACTTCAGTTTCAGCAGCCCCAGCGGCCACTTCTGACCTCGGAAGGCGTCAGGCATGTACATGATGTGCATTAACATACATGCGTTCAGAACATCCTTGCACATAAAAGAGATCTTTTAAAAATTTAATTAATTCATTGATTTTACTCCTGCAGTCACACAGAAACTCAGAAGGTTTAGTAGCAGCTTAGTTCACTGTTGCTGTATTTTGGTTAACAGTTGAGGAACTACAGCCGGGTGTTGGTGGTGCGTGCCTTTAATCCCAGCACTCGGGAGGCAGAGGCAGGCGGATCTCTGTGAGTTCAAGGCCAGCCTGGTCAACAGAGCTTGTTCCAGGACTGCCTCCAAAACAATACAGAGAAACCTTGTCTCGAAAAACAAAAAACAGAAAATGGTTGAGGAACTTCAAGGGTAAAATTGTACGACTTGGTTTCACTTATAAGGCAGACTCTTTGACTTAAAACTGTAATTTCAGACTCCCATTATCTCAGTGGCCGGTACTGCAGTGACATTTCTAAATAGACCACAGTTGCACTGTGTAGCCGTCCCGTGCTACATGAGATTGGGGGGGGGGGGGAGTATAAAAGTTTGTTTATAACCATAACAATTTAGAATTTGTCAGTTTAAATTTGTACTTTGACTTTGATCTCAAGCATTGAAAAACAGTAAAACTCGGGGTATTTGCATAGCTTCAGAGCATCTCTGCATAGAGTACTGACTTTCACAGGGGACTGTGGGAAATTTTAAGTGGAGAAGCCAGGAGCTCCTGATCTGATATTTCTAGAAGGACACAGGAGAACCTCTGTGTCCTTCAAAACAAAAATAGGTTCTCAGAATCTAACTCACATTCTGACATGAAAGTATAAGATGATCAAGGAACAATTCCAGACTGAGGAAACTATAAAGAGACGTGACAGATAACTGAAGTGGACAACCTCACACTGGAGTGTGTATCCAGGGGAAATTAGGATAATTGTGAAAGTGAATATGGACTGTATTCCAATCCAGATCATAATACCATGTGAAAGTTACATTTTCTCCAGTTTTGGTAATTGTTCAGTGTTGTTACCAAAAGGAAGGTTCTTTGTTTTATTTATTTATTGTTTTATTTATTTATTTATTGTTGGTTTGTTTTGTTTTGTTTTGTTTTTCTAGGCAGGGTTTTTCTGTGTAGCCTTGGTTGTCCTGGAACTTGCTTTGTAGACCAGGCTGGTCTCAAACTCTATGAAATCCACCTGCCTCTGCCTCCTGGATGCTGAGATTAAAGACTAAAAGGAAGATTCTTTTTAGAAGGGGGGAAAAGATTTATTTATTTATTTATCTATTTATTTGTTTATTTATTTATTTATTATGAATACAGCATTCTGCCTGCATGTGTGCCTGCACTGCAAGCCAGAAGAGGGCACTAGGTCTCTTTTTTTTTTTTTTTTTTTTTTTTTTTGGTTTTTCGAGGCAGGGTTTCTCTGTGGCTTTGGAGGCTGTCCTGGAACTAGCTCTTATAGACCAGGCTGGCCTCGAACTCACAAAGATCTGCCTGCCTCTGCCTCCCAAGTGCTGGGATTAAAGGTGTGCGCCACCAACGCCCGGCTGGCACTAGGTCTCATTACAGATGGTTGTGAGCCACCATGTGGTTGCTGGGAATTGAACTCAGAACCTCTGGAAGAGCAGTCTCAGGGCTCTTAACCTCTGAGCCATCTCTCCAGCCCAAAAGGAAGATTCTTGATTGTAAAGTGTCCATGCCAAAATATTAGTGTTCAGGAACATTTTATAGCTACCTTCCAAATAGTTTAGAAAACACACAAAACCAAACACATGGGGGAACTTGTTAATTGGCAAATCTGGGTGAAGGGTATAGGAGACTCTTGCAACTCCTATAGGCCAGAAATTATTTCAAAATAATTTTTCTTGAAACTTAGCATCTCAGAGGAATTTTGAAATGCTGTAATGAGTAGATTACTATTTTCATGATTAAAATACTATAATGGGTTCATGGTCTCTTGGGTAACAAGATCTTCCTTTGTTCCTTTTTGTTCTACTTGCATTTTGATTAGTTGTCACAGGGTATCTCTCGAGATTGCAGCCAGCATTTAGTGGTTAGTCACATGAACATAGGGAGCTAGATACAAGGTGGGGTGGTTGTATTTGTCATTGAGACAGTTTTCATGCATCAGGTCAGCCTTTAAAATCTCTGTTTCATGTAGGATTCTTTTTCATTTCTGAGCCTTCTACCTCTGCCTCCCAAAGGTGTGCACCTTTTGTCCAGGGTGTTGTGCATGCTAAACAACAACTCCCCCATCCTTTTTTTTTTTTAGACAGTCTCATGTAGTCCAGCTATGGGTTTGAGCTTGTCTTGATTCTGATGTTTCCTTCCTGAGTGCTGGGGTGATAAGTTTATATACCAGACCCAGCCAGTACATCTTTAAATGTACTTAACAACAGAAGCACTTGGGTCGGGAGGAGTTATCTCAAAACAGGATTTCTCTGTGTAGCCTTGACTGTTCTGTCACTTTGTAGACCAAACTCAGAGATATCCTCCTGCCTCTGCCTCCCTAGTGGGTAGCGGGATTAAAGGTGTGCACCACCACTGCCCGGCTGATTTTGCTTTCTTTTCTGTTCTTTCTTTTTTTTTTTTTCAAGACTGTTTCTCTGTTTGGCTTTGGAGCCCATTCTGGCACTATTACTTTGAACCTCCTGAGTGCTGGGATTAAGGGTGTGTGCCACCACTGCCTGGAAGAATTTTTTTTATTACTTTGTGTGTACACCTGTGTTGCCATGGTGAATGTATGGAAGTTAGAGAACAACTGTTTTTTCCATCATAGGCTTCAGTTATTGAACTCAAGCATCATTTACTGATCCATTTTGCCAGCCAAGATTATTTAGGTTGCCTTGGGGCTTCTTTTTCTGTTATGTGATTCAGTATATGTCTACTTTATGTAAATTTTGTTTCTGTTGCTGGTAATTTAATTCATTGTTTGCTGCTGCTCCCATGAATGATGCTCACGACCACTCATTTGTCTGATGTTTTTCCAAGGTGGTATAGCTGTATGCTGGGGAAGAAATGCAGTCTGGCTCCACTGAAGGAAGAGCTGAGAATCCAAGGGGTAAGCTTTGTCATTGTCATTCATGTGTGTCCTCTTAGGATGTAGTTTGAGTAGGGCAGCTTTCTTTATACCATAAAGCTTAATGTGTTTTTAAATTTTATTTTTATGTGTGTTTGTGTTATGTGTATTAATATTTTGTCTGCAGATATATGAGTGCCCACAAAGGTCAGAAGAGACCAGATCTTCTGGAGTCATGGATGGTTGTAGGCCACAATGTGGGTCCTGGGAATCAAGCTGTGTCTTTTGCAGGAGTGAAAATTGTAGCCCTGTGGTGGTGCACATGCCTTTAATCCTAACACTTAGAGGCAGAGGCAGACAGATCTCTGTGAGTTCAAGGCCAGCCTGATCTACAGAGCAAGTTATAGAACAGTTAGGGCTGTTACACAGAGAAAACCTGTCTCAAAAAACAAACAAAAGAGTGAAAATTGCTCCTAATTACTGAGCTATCTCTCCAGCCCATTATTTCTTGTTAAAGACACTAACACTACAGAGTAGTTCCTTTTTCTTATTGAAATCTGATACATGAAAGGGAGATTACATAGCTGCTTATGGCCAGACTTTGGTTGTCTGTTGTCCTTAAAGAAGTAAACAAAGGCTGATTGTGATGCATGACTTTAATCCCCACACTCAAGAAGCAGAAGCAGGTGGTTTGAGTTTGAGACCAGTTTGGTTTCCATAGCAGGTTCCAGGCAAGCTGGGGCTACATAGTGAGACCCTGTCTCAAAACAACCGTGTATACAAGGTTAGGAGTGGTGAATGCTTGAGGCCCTGCATAGCTTGGGCTGTCCTCATCTGTAACTCTATCCCCTGGGTGGTAGAAGCAAGAGGATTGCAAGTTGAAGGCCAGTTTGGCCCAGGTAGCTAAGTCCCCTGTCAAAGAATGAAGACAAATTACTTAAGCCATTTCACAGCGACTCCAGAGAACTGTTTTATGTGTTTGTGGCTTGGTCTTTGAGACATCTATAAATTCTAATATTTTATGAGAGGTAAAAATTCTGTATACAGATAATTTATTTTTTGATTATCAGACAGCTGTATATACCTTTTTAGAAAAATATTGTTTGTTAACTAACCAAAAGCAACTAGAAATATTACCAGAAAGACTTTATAGTTTGAAGGTGGGTATGGTGGCAGGAGGATCAGGAGTTCAAGGACACCCTTAGCTACCTGAGACCCTCTTGTATATCAAGCAAAACTTCCATGTGAGATGCTGTGTTTACTGGTTTCAGGTTCCTAAAGTCACCTTCACGGAGTTCTGTCAAGGCAGGACAATGAGATGGGCCTTAGCTTGGAGTTTTTATGATGATGTCAATGTACCGGTAAGTAAAGACTTAATTTGGATTCTTTTTTGGTTTTAGGAGACAGGGTTTCTCTGTATTGTTTTGGAGGCTGTCAGTCTAGCCCGGCCTCGAACTCACAGAGATCCCCGCCTGCCTTTGCCACCCGAGTGCTGGGACCACCACCACCGCCCGGCCTTAATTTGGATTCTTAAATTGCCTATCACGTGATAAGCTTCCACAGATCATAAATAAAACAAATTTGTACTGTCCTGTTTTCCTAAAGTTTTCTTCAAATGTTTATGGCAAAATGGAAAGTGTTTGTAAACAAGATCCAATCCTAGCACTGTTTAGAATTAGAAGTGTAGGCAGCATAGCCTGTAGGGAGCGCCCAACCCATGTAACTCCAGTGGATTTTCTTCAGTCTGTCTGCCTGGCCACTGCTGCTTTCCATTGTTGTTACGATCCTTTTTCTTTCTCCTGTTGTGATTTGGCTTGAACCCAGTGTCTCAAGCACAGTAGGCAAATATTGTACCCCAAATTATACTTCTAGCTCTATGGCTGTATCCCTTTTGAGTGTAACACCTAAGGATTGTGCTGGATTTTGTCTGTTTGTTTGTTGGAGACAGGGTTTCTCTGTGTAACAGCCCTGCCTGTCCTGGAACTCACTCTATAGACCAGGCTGAACTCACAGAGATCTGCCTGCCTCTGCCTCCCTAGTGCTGGAATTAAAGGTGTGCACCACCACCTCCCAGCTTAGCTTGTGCAGGTCTCAGTAAAAAGCTCTGGCTTATCTTTTATGATTACTACTAGAAAATGGGTATGGTTAGCATGTGCCAGTCCCAGAACATAGAAAGTGGAGATAGAAGAATTCTGAGTTTGAGGCCATCCTGAAGTAGTACCAAGGAGAATGCCTCTAAAAGAGCTGGAACTGGGCAGTTCCAGATTTGAAGCTGAGTCAATTCTTCCTCCACAGCTAGATGTGCTGAAGGATTGAAATTGCCCCAATAGAGTGTCCTTTACGTAGAAGCCTAGACTTGCTCCTGGACTGTGCAGTAGAGTACCCAGAGGTTAGTGCTTAATTTGGTCACTAGTTAAAAAGATGCCTCTGCTTGCCATGGCTCCCTCCTCCAAATAGCCTAATGTTTTTTAGACTACTAGGACCTTCACAGCAGATGGTTAACATCATTAACAGTGCCCTTAGCTATCCCTGTGCAGACACAAACAGCTTGGGAAATTGGAGCAACACCTGCTTCCAAGAGTGTCATCTTAACCTGCTGTCCCCAGTTTTTGACACAGCTGGGGAGAGTTGGCTAATGGGCTCTGACACTCCCCACAGCAGCCCAGAGACATTCTTTGCCCTCTTGGATGAGGGAGGCATCACAGATACTAGTGTTAAAGGCAGTGTCTGTGCAAAATCAGTTTTTTTTCCCCCCAAAATCAGCTACGTAGAAAAAGAGTCTCTGAGCCTCCCTCTCTCCTTGTATCTTGTAGCCCTGTGTAGTTTCCAGCCATCAAGGAATGCCTCTTACTAAGGGCCTGAGATTCCTCTCATGCTACAGAGCATTTCTCCCTCCCCACCACTGCAGTCATCCCTAAGCTACTAAGCTACTAATAATTCGTTCCCCAGTGTTCAATTAGATGTACTTAAACTGCTGGGGTGGGGGAGGGGTGACAGCTTCTGATTTGTAGTAACCCAGCAACAGTTTCTTAGCACTGGTGCCCTTGACTGCTTTCCCTGTGGGTAGATCCAGGTTACTCTGGAGATTTTTGGGTTGACCTTCCTCTTGGTTTCCCTTCCTTCTAGTTAGACTCCCCCAGTCACTGTTTTTTTCTGGAAAGCTCATCTGATGACCCTTTCTTGCTCTTTGTTTGTTAGTTGGGCAGGAGAATGCTGTTTCACTCAAGGAAAGGAAGACAATGAATAGAGCTGGTTAAGCTCAAATATTGACCTACTTCCCCACCCCCACCCTGCCATTTTTCAGGATGTGCAAGTTCCTATGGCAACTTGTGTTTTCACTTATTATCTCAGGCCTACTGACTCGTTTCTGTTGGTCCTGAATGCTGAAAATTCTAATTCAAGCAATTCTAATGCCTACACTGAGCCCACTGCTGTTGTCTGGACTTATTTTAGCAACAAAAAGAATATCTCCCTGAGAATTTTTGTGGCATAGTTTCTGACTGATTTGGGCATGGGGAAGCAGTAAGCTCTCCAGGATGCTGACAATTCACCTTTAGACTCTTTGTCCAATTCTCTAAGTCTGCAAGGTGGTGCTTCAGGTTGTTTTGCTTTCAGAGAGTTGATGTTGGTTGAAGGGCAGAGGGTGACACATAGCTCTAGTAAATTGTGTACCCTTAATGAGCATTGCTCAGGAACCCTGCTTCATAAAATACCCCCAGGGCTACCCAGGTGGTATTGGTGAACACCTTTAATTCCAGCACTTGGGAGGCCGAGGCAGGGGAATCTATGAGTTCGAGATGAGCCTGGTCTATAAGAGCTAGTTTCAGTACAGCCTCCAAAGCCACAGAGAAAACCTGTCTCGAAAAACCAAAAAAAAAAAAGTACCCCTCAGAGGATCCGGACCCGGGTTGGGTTCCCAGCACCCACGTGAAATCCCATACCTTCTTTTGGTCTCTATGGGCACAAGGCATGCACGAGGGGGCACATTCATACATGCAGGCTAAATGTAGACATAAGAATAAAAGCATTTAAAAGCAGTCCCTACTGTTCAAGGGATTTCTCTTAGCCTGGGCTTCTCTGTCTAGCTTATTAATACAAGGTTTTGGGGGGGCTGGATAGAGAAGGGGTCAAAATAAAAATTTGTGGGTGTTGTATGTTTTCTGGCTACACTCTACAGATTTTTTTAAAATTTATTTTTAATTGTGTGAGTGTTGTATACATAAGGGAATGTGTCCACGAAGGCCTGGGGGATTAGATACCCAGGAGCTGGAGTTACTGTCATGAGCTTCCTGAGGTAGGGGATTGAACTTCAGTCCTCAGAAGGAGGGATACCTGCTTTCAACTCCTAGATCTAGATAGTTTCTCCGGCCCTAGATTTTCTCTCTCTCTTCCCTCTTTTTCCCCTCCCCCTCCCCCAATTGACAGAGTGTCACTATGTGGCCTTGGCTGCCCTGAAGCTCACTCACTATGTTGATCAGGCTGACCTTGCCTCGTGAGTGCTGGAGTGAAAGGCATTCATCACCCTGTTATGTTCAGATTTTCTTAGTAAAGTATTCTTTTTATTGAGATTGGAGAGATGGCTAAGCAGTTAAGACCACTTACTGTTCTTTTCTAGGACCTGGGCTTGGCTCCTAGCACCCACATGAGGCGGCTTACAACTGTCTTACAATTCTAGTTTCAAATTATCTGGTGTCCCCTGACCTTTTAGACACCTGCATGCGTGTGGTGCACATAAACTCACATAGGCAAATGCCTACATGGTTTGTGAACCAGAACTCTACCAGCTCCAAATTAGGCAGCCAAACAGATGTGGTGATTAGGGACTGAGCTTTGAGCAGAATAAAAGTATGAGCCTTGCTGAGGTAATAGCAAAGAAATCAAAAACTTCAGGTTCTTTTTTTTTTTTTAAGATTTATTTACTTATTATGAATACAACATCCTACCTCCACGTCTGTCTTCAGGCCAGAAGAGGACACCAGATTTCGTTATAGGTGATTGTGAGTCACCATGTGGTTGCTGGGAATTGAACTCAGGACCTCTGGAAGAGCAGTCAGTGCTCTTAACCTCTGAGCCATCTCTCCAGCCCCAAAAACTTCAGGTTCTTATGTGTTGGTTTTGTAGCAAAGCAAACCATAGCTGAAACAATATATATACAAATTGTACATGCATAAGTGCTGAGATGAATGATAGGGACAAGAACATTTCAGAAAAAGAAATAATTGGGGCTAATGTAGTCAGAAATGACTTTAGGGACTGTTTGTCCTGAGGCGGGGTTTGTGGAGTGTTTAAAAGGATGACTTAGGACTTACTCAGTCCTGTGAGTAGAGCATCAATAGGTTTTGGGAACTTTGTACTGCGTATAATTGTTGGTGTTTGAATACATGTACTATTTCCTTCCCATCAAAGCAGAAACAGTTGTATGAGCAGTAACACCAGCCCCCTGGAGGCTGCAGGAAGTCAAGCCCCAGTCTGGTTTTCTAGCCCAAACTTTCAATCTGCTTCCCAGGTCTCTTGTCTTTTCCTGAGCCTGGCATAATAACCTCCCTGTGCAGTCTTTAATGAAAAATCTTTTTTAGGAATTATCCTAACAGCCTCTCCTCTGGGAAGTCTGCCGTTCTGGCCAGAGTTCCTATCTGTGGTCTGGGCATGTAGCTCGTGGCAGTGTTTTCCTAGCATGCAGTCTTAGGTTCCATCTCTCACGCCACAAAATAACAATAGCAATAGTTTCTATAGTTATAAGATACAGTGTTTCTAGAGTAGATGCAAAATAATTTCTGTTTGTTATATTAGAAGTTATATATTAAATAAGAGAAGAGTAAACTTATTTATTTATTAATGGAGAAAAGCATTTTGGTTCCATTTCAGCTTCTTTGTACTGTCCCACTCACCAAAATCCTCTTTCTCATAGTGGTTGCCTCTGTGTCCACAAAAGTTTTTGAGTTTTTTTTTTTTAGTATATACTCCTTTAATTAGATACTGTCTAATATGAATTAGTATCTGTAACAAGACATAAAATTGTCTTAGTGCCAGGGATCTATGAGGTTAGATTTAACTATCAGTTTCTATTTTTGTTTGTTTTTTGTTGTTCAGGACAGTGTTTCTCTGTGTAACAATCCTGGCTGTCCTGGAATTCACTCTGTAGACCAGGCTATCCTGGAACTCAAAGATTCACCTGCCTCTGCCTCTCACATGCTGGGATTAAAGGCCTGTGATGCCACAGGCAAACAAAATGTAACTTTTTAAGATTTCCATGTAGAAAGTTTTAACTTGAAAAGAAATAACTTAATTACTGTAGTGGTACTTTTGGTGTTTTAGGTGGAACTTCAGTTCCTCTAGTGGGTGGAGTGTAACCTGCCTAAGTCCTGGGTAGAAAGTTTGCTGGTGATTGGATTCCTATGGCCCTAGCTTTCAAGTGTAATGTTCTCATTGGTACTGGTATTCTTCATGCCCTGTTGATAGGCAGTAGATAATCTGGGCCCATCTTATTCTACTTATGAGATTCTCTGGCCCTGATCGTTCCTGGCCTGTGATTTTTGTAAGCTGCTGTATTTCAAGTCTCAGCAAGTGTTTTGTTTGGTTATGGTCGGTCTCCATTTGTATCCTTCCTTGTCTGGCCTGAAACTTGCTATGTAGACCAGGCTGGCTTCAGACTCAGAGATCCGCCTGCCTCTGCCTCTCAGGTACTGGGATTAAAGGTTGGGGCCACCAGCACTGCACCCCTGCCGATCATTTAGCAAACAAACTATCAGTTGATGACTTTGTTAGGCATGGCTTTACCACTGAACCACATCTCTAATCAGCCTTACTGTACAGTAGTAATAGTGGTAGTATTAGTGTGCAGGCTAGAGGACTACCTCAGCTTTTTTTGTTTTTTTTTTTCTGGTTTTTCGAGACAGCGTTTCTCTGTGGCTTTGGAGGCTATCCTGGAGCTAGCTCTTGTAGACCAGGCTAGTCTTGAACTCACAGAGATCCACCTGTCTCTGCCTTCTGAGTGCTGGGGTTAAAGGCGTGTGCCACCATGCCTGGCCTTGCAAACACCTTACAATTGGGTGTAGTTCACTGTGAGCCTGCTTGGGGCACCACAGACAGTAAAGTTCCGTTTAGTGGTTGGAGAGTGTATATAATGGTAGCTGGAGGAGAGCAAGGTTTTAAAGAGTTTGTATTTGAAGTTTGACTCCCAATTCTGTGTTACTAATGGTGTGACTCTGAGCTATAATTACACAGCCATTGTCTCAGTTTTCTTCCTGTAAAGTGAAGGAAGTGGTGGAGCTTTCTCCTGAGCTGTCTTCAGCACTGGAAAGAACATGTATTTCATGCTGGGCTTTGTATTTCATGCCCAGTAGTGGGGAGCAGAAACCCTGAAAATGTCCATACGTGTGTCCATTATAGTGTACTGTATTTAATTATTGGGACAACTTTCTTCTTCTTTCAGTCACCTCCAAGTAAACGAAGAAAATTAGAAAAGCCAAGGAAACCCATTACATTTGTGGTGTTGGAGTCTGTGATGAAAGAATTATCCCTCAAAGCCTCAACCTTGGGCTCTGAGACAGTGGAAGGCATAGGAGTTGTGACAACGTGGATAGAAAGAATCCTCACTGATCTGAAGGTATGTAACCAAGCATATTGATGAAGTGCTCATCTATAATGACCTTTATGGTTTTTTGTTTTTGTTTTGTTTTGACAAAGGATTTCCTATAAAAGTCTGGTTTTTCCTCCACATAGGTCCACCATAAACGAATTCCATGTGGAAAAGGAGAAGTTAGCATTTTCCTGACAGCCATAGAAAACTCTTGGATTCATTTAAGGCGGAAGAGAAGAGAGCGAGTGAGACAACTAAGGGAGGTGCCCCGAGCACCTGAGGATGTTATCCTAGCCTTGGAGGAGAGAAAGTCTACTCCCAAAGAGTTGAGTAGCCAAGATGTGGCCCCATGCTCCCAGGAGAATGCCTTATGTGGCCTTGCTGTACCGGAAGGCGAGTCTGCCACTGTTGGTGGCCATGGCCTCAACCAGGAGTCATTTTGCCAGGAGGAAACTCCAGAAGCCATGGAAGATGAAAGGAGTGAGGAAAGGGGAGGGATGGAGGTCATGGAAAGTTGTAAAGGCTCTAGCAATGGAGCCCAGGACCGAGAGGCTCCAGAGAAGGGAGACCACCTGGATGGAGCTGCTGGACGTTACCTGTTTAAGTGCCTAATCAACATCAAGAAGGAAGTAGACGGCGCCTTAGTTGAAATGCATTGGGTTGAGGGCCAGAACAGGGATTTGATGAACCAGCTTTGCACCTACATACGTAACCAAATTTTGAAGCTTGTTGCTAGTTAATTCTTAATTTCTTCTACAGTTAGAAAAGTGTCTGTATATGGCTGGGGATATGGTACAATGACTGTATGTGCTTCGTATGCAGAAGGCACCCTGGGTTGAGTCCCTAACATCTAGCATCAATACAAAAAAAACCCCACAAAAAGTAAACGATAAAGTAGCTTTGGAGGTAGAGCCTATTGGGAAGCCAGAGGAATTTCACCACTGGTCCATTGGTGACACCATGTGGAATCATGTTACAAAGCAGAAATTTAGTTCAATGTGATCTCTAACACGTACAATCCCAATACTTGAAGGCTGAGGCAGGATGATTGCTGTGAGTTTAATGTCAGCCCATGATACAGAGAAAGACACTTGTTTAAATAAAAAGAAGAAAAAAAGGAAAGCAGAAATGAATCCATTTTTAACCCTTCTCCTCTTAAAGTTATCTGGGGTTCCGTGTATGGTACAGTGGCTCAGAAGGAATTACAACTATTGCAACAGCAGATAAACTTAGGAGGAACTTATGTCCTTCTCCAGTAGTTTATCTCAGCCTGGCACTGATTCCCTGAGGCCAGAGGTACTTGTGTCATCTGGTCTGGGTCAGTGCTGCCTAGAACATGTCCATTGCTAAGGGTTGCTTAATGAAGAAGGTATTAGTATTCTCCAATGGAGACAATACAGCCAGCAGAGTGGAGGTCTAGGAATGCTTATAGTTGCCTTCAAGACACCTGCTTTCTCAGGTACCCAGAGCTGATTGAGCCAGCCCTCAGAAAGGAACTAGCCTGGTGATAGGTGGCCAGGATGTCTTGGAGAGACATCTTAGGCCAAGGAGAGGGCCAGTCTGGGAACACACGGGAAGCCGCATAGTCCTTGGTTGCTGCTGTTCTGACGTTGCCTATAATAGAAGCAGAATTGAAGCAAAATCTGATCTGAGGCACAAGGAAAAAGGTGCCCATCCCCCTCCTACAGCCCACCGACAGTATTGTTCTGTAGCAGTTTTAATAGAAGACCTCAGAATTGAAAGCTATTGGTCCTGTTTGAATCCTGGAATTGGGGAAATATTAATATTTTCTTGTATTTGAGTTGGTTAAATGGTTGTTACAAATGAGAAACTAAGTAAGGTTCTATGTGTACTAGGTAGGGTATATCAGTGGTAGGGCATTCACCTAGATGTGTGAAGGCCCTGGATTGATTTTTTGAGGATTGGGATTTTTTTTTTTTTTTTGAGACAGCCATTCTCTGTTTTACCCTAACTGTCCTGGAACTCACTCTGTAGACCAGGCTGAGACTTGTTATGAAGAAGATTGTATAGGTGTTAAAATAATAGTCTAGAATGAAAAAAAAGTTTGACAAGAGTGGTGTCCATGATGTTTGAAAGAACTAGAACCATGAGTGCCTTTGCATTTGAACACCTTTTCTTTTTCGTTGTTTAATGAGATGGCTTTGAAAACGTTTTAAAGGGACATTATGTGCTTGAAGAGAAGCTTTTTAAAGAAATTGGTTGCTCACGTGTCACAGTATTGAGTGGCATTCTGCTTAAGTATCTGGAGGTCAAGTTTGTGTGGTGTTGATAGAGTGACAGGAAATGAAATCTCTGTGGTATTATCTTAAATTCTATTCTGGGCCCTGCTTGGCTTCTGATTCCCTGATAGCTGAAGTGGGAACAGAAGCAGAACTTGTTTTCTAGTGTGAACTAAGGCGCTTTTGTTTTGCTGGTGTGGTTCGTTCGCCCTACCTGTGCTTGGCTGTTCTCACACTCGGGCTTTCTGGGCTCTGGGACCACATTGGCATCTCTGAGGAGTTTTAGCTAACCGTAAGGGTTCTTCTGGTCAGTTGTATATTTAGAAAACAAAACCTCCTTTTTCTGGTGGAAATCAAAGCTTCTGGTGTCTGGCGGAAATAATTAAATGGCCAGGTGTGGAAAAGCTGTAAAAATCCCATACAGAAGCCATCCATCTAAGGGCATTGGGTTTTATTTTATTTTGTTTTTTGAAGCAAAGTCACATTCATGAAGCTCAGGCTGGACTTGAACTTTCAAGGTAGCCAAGGTTTGTGATGAACTAACCCCTGGTTCCTGCAGATGTTGCCTCCATGCCAGGTTTTATGTGGTGCTAGAGGTTGAACCCAGGCTCTGTTAGTGCAAAGCGGGCAGGGCACTGTATGTACTGACAGACAGCTGTGAGTCCTGAGCTCTCTTCACTCGGAAGAGAAGTGAGTGCTGTTGGTATGGTGACCCCACTTGTAATCTCAGCATTTGGGAGGTGGAAGGAGAAGGAGGAGCAAAAGCCCTATGCTGAGTTCAGAGTTGACCTTTCCTACACTGAGAGTTCAGGGCCAGGGAGAAGGGGGAAGAGGCTATGGGAGTCCCTTGGTCTTTTTAACTTGCAGCACTTTTTTCCGGAGCCACACGGGGGCACCCTTCAGCCCCTCCAGTCACAGTCCTGAACTTCATTGTGGGCATGGATGAAATTGTATCTGTGGAATTTCTAGAAATATTTGTTGTAATTGCTGGGCGTTGGTGGCGCATGCCTTTAATCCCAGCACTTGGGAGGCAGAGGCAGGCGGATCTCTGTGAGTTCGAGGCCAGCCTGGTCTACAAGAGCTAGTGCCAGGACAGCCTCCAAAGCCACAGAGAAACCCTGTCTCGAAAAACCAAAAAAAAAAAAAAAAAAAAAAAAGAAATATTTGTTGTACTCAAATAGGTATTTATGATGGCATATTTTCACTTAAAAGTTTTTTTTTAATCACTACCTTTACATTTTATCCCCCCAACCCCCCATAAGGTTTCTCTGTTTAGTCTTTACTGTCCTGGAACTCTCTCCAATAGACTAGGCTGTCCTCGAACTCAAAAGAGATCACTCTGCCTCTGCTTCCCAAGTGCTGGGATTAAAGGTGTGTGCCACCACCTGGCTATGGTTTTTATTGTCTCAACTGACCAGCTTTTCTTTTCTTCACATCTGTCTACTCTAGAACATACTCATTTTGGGCCTGTCCTTTAGATTTTTTGGGGGCTGGGGTGGAGTTAATGAGGATCACAGAGAAGGGAATGTTAGTATGTGGTGATATATTGTTTATGATCCAATAAAGCCACTGAAGATCAGAACAACTAGCTACAGCCATAGAAGCTGGCAGTGGTGACTCGTACCTTTACTCTCAGGACTCAGAAGACAGGCAGATGGATCTCTGTGGGTTCAAGGCCACCCAGGGCTACATGAGAGTGAATCAATCTAAAAGGGAAACAGCTCACGCCTTTTGTTCCCAGCACTAGAGAGGTCTATAAGATAGGAGCAGGGCATTCAGTGTTCAGTCTTAGGCATTCAGTCTCCAGCCACACAGAGGATATGGAGCTAGGATCACCCCCTCCCCCCAGTCCAAGGTAAAGGTAAGAGCTATCAGCTGGCTGCTTTGCTTCTCTGATCTTCAGCTTGAATCCCAATACCTGTCTCTGGGTTTTTATTTTTCGTGCTACAGTAGTGACTTGTCAAAAGCTTTCTGTTCCAGGACTGATAAGATAGAGATCTCCTAGAGAAATGCATTTTCATCTTACTTTATATTTGATCTTGCTGGCAGACTAGCATGCATGTGATGAGTTATTCATGTGAAGAATTGCAAGGGCTCTCTGTTTTATGTTTATCTAAATTAGCTGGGTCTTTTTTTTTTTTTTTTTTTTATTGTGTATATAGTCTTCTGCCTGCATGCCAGCAGAGGGCACCAAGTCTCATTCAAGGTAGTTGTGAGCCACCATGTGGTTGCCGGGAATTGAACTCAGGACCTCTGGAAGAACAGTCAGTGCTCTTAACCACTGAGCCATCTCTCCAACCCTGGGTCTTATTTCTTAAGGATGTTTCTGTATAGAGTAGAACATGCTTATGACTAGCCCTGTATGGCTCTAGGCTCAAGGAGAATTGCTCTCTGTTTACTTTATGGTGTAAGGTCAGGATCTGCCGTTACCCTTCTACTCTGTTTGCAAAACTCCAGTTACTGTTATTAGAGTAGATAGTCTCAGTGGTGCTATCCAGGGGTATCCTAAGGAAAGGGATATGGTTTCATTGTGTTTAGGAAACTTGCTGGCCAGGTGATTTCATTTGCTGAATTACCATCACCTCAGTAAAATTCTCTTGTGTTCATTGATAGAACAGTCAGGGTTTACCTCTTGAAGGAGGGCACTAATGGTTTGAAAAATGCTAATCATCTCATATGCCTTGTGTGACTACCAGTGCAGTGTTAAAATGGCTGGCTCGGGGCACCTGTAGCATTAGAATTTACACATGCCTGAGATCCCATTCTGTTCTGGAAAGATCTGCTGTGACTCACTCAGATGACTAAAACAGCGGTTCATTCTTTAATTGCTGGTTAGAGCAGCTAATGCTGCCTTTGTGGGTCTGTGCTTTTACTCTGGGAAATTATGTTGTGACTGAATGAAGACCTTGTACCTCTCTGATTTGTAGCCTGTGTGTCTGTCCAAGCAGAAATCTCAGGGCCTCTAAGCTCCCTTTAGGAGGTAGAGGACATGGGTGCTCCTTAGCAACAGGGAAACAGAACAAGAGAAGAAGATAGAGTGCAGACTTACAGCTACATTTGACAGACGTGACTTGGAGCCAATGCTTAGAAGAGGGCAGCCTGTACTCCAGGCACTGTTCATCCCAGAGCAGTGAACAGAGGCGGGGGGCACAGGCCTGGCATCTCATCAGCCCTGGGTCTACAGTGCTATTCCACTCCTTATACAGGACACCAGTCTGACGGGGCTGGCCTCGGGAGAACCGGGGACGCCTGCTCTGTTGGTGAGAAGTGAGAGCATGTGCCAGTGAGAGGAGGACTCAAGGGGAGTTCAGAAAGCCACACTTGAGATTGTGGAGAGGGTTAGAGTTTTGGTCAGAAAGTCTCTTGCCATTGGACTCAATTTTGAGAAGGCTAAGACCCTGATTAAATCTGTAGGTAGAGTACTCCCTGTTGGCCAAAGTGAAAGACAACTTCTATGTTGTGGATGCATTAGGAACTGACCATTGGTAGTCCATCTTTTACAGAGATTGTCTCATTTAGTAACCCTCTTAGCTGATGTGGTATTGTTATGGCAGCTGAAGGCAATGGAAGCTTCAACGGCCTAGGTGACTAGCCCTAATGGTATTCACTGAGCAAAGGTGCAGAGGCAGGATTTGAACTTGGGTCCAAGAAGCTAAGGCTGGGCTCTAGTGCCAAATCTAGAAATTCGCTGACAAATAATGTACTTTCAGGCCCTTTTGCTCCACCTCTTCAGGAGACTTCAGTTCGATGACACAGGGAAGCCAGTGCAAACATTTTACCCTCATATTTCAGCACTAAAGGTGCTATCATTTTCTTGCCTGTGATCAATGAATGACATTTAGTAAGTGAAGTTAGTTACAGTTAGTAGTTAATTCTTAATTTATGTCACCAAATCTTCACAGAATCTTGTATTTGGCAGGAATGTAGATAATTAAGTAGTTAATGAAACCACAAAATAAAATGTCTGGCGAAAGCCCATTGGAGTAGAATCAATATGAAATAACTGATAATTAGATAACGACTCTTTGACAATACATAATTGTGTAATAATAGACGGGAGGTTTTGTTCTGTTTTAAACACTACAGTTCCAAATATTTCACTTATGGATCTGCGTAGAACCCGTGTGCTTTGAAAGTTTGCTGGAGAAGATAAGATTGTCAAGGGAGTCATCCACGTTCTCTTCTCAGGTAGCCAGAGAAACTGTAGGTTTGGGAACCACAGAGGCTGACCCTCATAAGGGAGTGTGGCCTTGGAAGGAAAGCCAGCAATTCCCAGCCGGGGATTTGTCTGGATGCTGTAGCTAGTGGACCCCCAGAGGACATGGCAGCTTGTTCTGCCAACTCTTCAGAAAGCATCTTGCTCGAGAGCAGGACCCTCAAGGGACCGTGGCTGAGGCTGGTGCTGTCTTCCTGGTAGAGGAGTAAGCCTGGGCTGACACAGGTGTACCAGGATTCCTGCCCTACAGGCTGAGGGTGGGTGTGTGACTGGGCTTTGTGAGACTAGATCTTCATCTACAAGGAAAGTGTTATTCCTCCATGAGATGGGAGTCTAGCAAGAAAGGGGTGCACTCCAGCCCTCACTAGCAAGAAGTGGCTTATTTTCTGCTGATGAGTGGTACCATGTTGTTGGGGGCTCTGAGGAAAGCTAGAAGTCTAGATTTATTTGAATCCTGGTAACTCCCTATTTAAAAAAAGCAAAATTAGTAAAACATCAGTTTGGGACCTCTACCAACTAGCAGTTATTTCTGCCTCTACCTTTCCTAATCTTGCTTACTTGGCTTCTGAAGTTTGGTTGCTGCCTGCCCTCTTAATGCGACCCTTCCTACTTAAGGGGGAAACCCCAAGGATTGTATCCATAAGTCATATGTGTACTTCTCTCGTTATTCAGTCTACTGCCACCCACTTCTGTGAGTTGACCCACACCCATCATGCCCTTAATCTAGATCGTTCTGAATTTGCATTATCAGGGTACTTAGCATCTGCCATGGTTCCTGTGTATGTGTGCACACACACGCGCTGATTAGATCTTTCTACTCTTTCACTGGCTAGCATGAAGTTATTTCTATAACCCTGTCAGTTCCAGAAGTCCCTGATTTTACACCAATCTCACCAGTCCTAGGGATCCTGTCCTAACGTGCTTCCTCATGGCTCAGCTGAATCATCTTGATCTCTGAGGAGTGCCAGAGTGAGGATTTGAAAGGAGCTGATGTAGATCGGGGTGCAACGAGATGAAAAAAACCTGTATAGAGGAGTTTTTCAGAAGAAAGTAAGAGTGGAAAATGGTACTCCAGGCTATTTCAGGGGAGATCAAACACCATGATATCCCAGAGAAAGGGTGACTTTCCTGAACAGAGCAAAGGCAACCTTTCCTTTCCAGGGACATTGCCCCTCCTGCCCAGAACCTTGGCATGTTCCCACGTTTCCAGCCTTTCAACAACTTCATTTTATAATTGTAATAAATTTTCATATGCAGGTTTAGAGAATAATGAATAACCTGCAATTCACTAGTCATGAAATTATTTTACAATTTGTTGTCTTAATGTGTTTGTATGCATATGCATTTTAAATAACTGGAGTCAGTCATGTTCTGTGTTAATTATACTTTTTATTTAGCAATATATTGTGATTTATTCATTTTTCTTTCTGAAGGCTAATGATCTGCTTCAGGGAAGTTATGAAAATAAGAATTGCCAGTGGCCACCCTTCCTGAAACCAGCCACTGCTGGTTCTGTGCCAACAGCCTGCCCCTCTGTGCTCTGCACACTGCCAGAGCGCTTGTTCCTACTTAGATCTTTAGATTGATTGTTCTGAACAGGGTTTTCACTATTGTAAATAACATTTTACCTCAGAGTTTTAATGTAGTTTTCTTTCTGTAGGATAAATTTGCCTGTTGTTACCAAGGCAGAGAATGTGCCTCCCCAGTTTGCTCACAAAAAGGCCTAGGCTAATGTACATTTCCGTGAATAAGTGTTTGTTTGTTTTGCCATACCTTTGATAGTTCTGGAAGGCTGTTTTTTCCCTTTTCTTTTAAGTCATTTTATTTCTAGTTGTGTTTGTCTGTCTGTTGGTCTGTTTGTCTGAGTCTGTGCAAGTAAGTGTTGGTGCCCTAGGAGGCCAGAGGTGGAGTGAGCTGCTGGGAACTAAACTCAACCCTCTGCTAGAGCAGCTCATGAGTTATCTCTCCAGCCCCAGCCCCCAGAGGGCTATTTTTAGAAAATTCTTTGTCAACTGATAGGCAAAAAAAAAAGTTTGAATTTCATTATGAGATTGACATGGTCTGTTCAGCTATGTGTGTGCTAATATTTCATGCATGTAATGCTTTAAAATTTGAGATTTGTGTCTTCTAACTATTGAAAATTGAAAACTGCTATTGCAAGACTTCCTTCCATTTGTTATTTCCTCCCCCTTCAGTGATTTTATTTTCACGGTTAGGAATTTCTAGAGGTTAATCCATTACATTATGCCAAGTTTTATTTGCTTTTGTGAGTAGAAAACTCTTTTTTTTTTTTTTTTTTTTTTTTTTTTGGTTTTACGAGACAGGGTTTCTCTGTATTGTTTTGGAGGCTGTCGGTCCAGCCCGGCCTCGAACTCACAGAGATCTGCCTGCCTCTGCCTCCCGAGTGCTGGGATTAAAGGCGTGCGCCACCACTGCCCGGCGTGAGTAGAAAACTCTTGCTCTGGAGTAGAAAATGTTTGCCTATTTTTCGGTATAGCTTCTTTTATTTTTATTTTTCATGTAACACTTAGCAATTGTAGGTATCCATTTTAAGGATCTGTTTAACAATGGTGCAGTTATTACATATTGACTTCAGAAATGGCAAATAAAGCCCCATCTAAGATCACCAATGGGGCAGCACTCGGGAGGCAGAGGCAGGTGAATCTCTGTGAGTTCGAGGCCAGCCTGGTCTACAGAGCGAGTTCCAGGAGAGCCTCCAAAACAATATAAAGAAATCCTGTCTCGAAAAGCAAAACAAAACAAAACAAAGAGATCACCAATGGGGGCAGGGAGCAGGGCAGACCATAGAGATATATACTCGATTCTCTTACCTTTACCCTACCCCCAGCCTGTAAGTAGAAACTCAAGATAGCTTGTGTCTACTAAGCTCTGAAGAGTGGATCCATCCCTGCTCAGTGGAGACTGGATGCAGCAGCCTGCCTGTTAGGTATAAACTGGATGGCAGACCTTCCACAGGTGCTGACTGCAGTCCTGCCCTCTGCCTTGAGATGAGTCCCTGCCTCCTGACACATCTCCACCTCGGGTGATCTAGCTGGCTCTTGACTCATATTGAATGACTCCACCTCTCTTTACTCATAACTCTGCCCAGTCCCACTCCCTTGACCTGAATTAATCGACACCCAGGAACCCACATCCTTTTTCCTTCAAAGGACTGCCTGAAGTCCTCATGCTTCTTTGCCTCTTCAGTGGATCAGCTTCTAGCTCGTGGCCCCCACAGCTCCAACTCTAGACAAGACAGCAAGTCTCACCCCTGGCCTAAGAGAAAAAAACTTGTTTATGAACTGCATTTCCTTCTTTATTACTCAGTGTTCACACCCAGGGTGGGTGCCTGGATAAAGGTCTCCCCTTTCTCCCTGTCACCTTCCCAGGCCCAGTTAGAGGTTCCCCCAAGGCGCTCTCACTCATGGACTAAACCTGTGTTTGGAGCAGCACTAGGCAAAGTTAATGATTATCTGTTTTTAGCAATGATGTGTGTGCACGCATATGTGCTTTCTTTTCCTGTTCACTCACTTCCGGGAGACTTTTGGGACTCTGGACCCCATATAGATGGTACTTGCCCAGATTTGACAGGCACAGACAGAGAAGAGGATCAGGCTGGTTCTCAGCATGACAGCATGGTGACCTTTGATAAGACACCTTTTCTTGGTGTCTTAGACCCTGTAATCACAACTCTTCAGTTGTGGCATCCAGTGAGGCAGTGTCGAGGGGAAGTAACTTAGGGAGAAGGAGGAACTCAGTTGTACCTGTTTGGTGGGTGCTGGGGACCCACTTCATTGATGAGTGGTCAGGTGCCCTTGCAGGGTATGTCTGTCACAGATTTAGAACTATCCTGATGACTTTAAGACTTGGGTTCAAGAGGCAGGCCTTGTCTAGAGTGTGTTCTAGGACTACACAGAGAAACCCTGTCTTGGACAAAAGCAAAAACACAACAAAACAAAAAACCAAAGACTTGGCTTCAGTGTACCCCAGACCTAAATGCACTTAATTTCTTTGATGTTGTTTTGGAGACAGAACCTCATTCTATAGCCCAAGCAGGCTGGGAAACCATCCCTCTGCTTGAGCCTAGGAATTGAGGTTGGAAATGTGACCCACCATGCCTGTTTGTTTTGAGACAGGGTTTTTCTGAGTAGCCCTGGCTATCCTGGAACTCCCTTTGTAGACCAGACTGGCCTCAAACTCTAAGATCCACCTGCCTCTGCCTCCCAAGTGCTGGGATTAAAGGCGCCTGCTATCACCTCCTGGATACTAGTATCTTTTTATATTTTTGGAGAGATTAAGATCTGGGAGCCTGGTTTAATCTTAGGCTGGTGTAGTTGTGTTACCTCTTTATACAGTATGAAGAACAAAATGAACCTTGCCCAGTGTGAATGTAGTAGTCAAAGCCACCTTCTCGATTCCTACCCTACTCTGCTTACCAAAGATCACCTGGCCTGGCCTATAAAGATACTTAGCCAGTTGTCTGGCATGTGCTTGTGAATGTTACCTGGTGTGTTCCTGAGCATAGCTGTTGGTGTCCCTCTATTTTAAGTATATTTGGCTGTTTCTCTTTTTTTTGTTTTGTTTTGTTTTTCAAGACAGGGTTTCTCTGTATTGTTTTGGAGGCTGTCCTGGAACTAGCTCTTGTAGACCAGGCTGGTCTCGAACTCATAGAGATCTGCCTGCCTCTGCCTCCCAAGTGCTGGGATTAAAGGCATGCGCCACCACTGCCCGGCTTCTTTGGTTTTGTTTTAATTATGACTGGTGAAAAGTTTCCAATAACCACCAGTAAAAGATACCAAATCAAGACTGAAAGGTTGGGGCATCTCCTGGGTTGCAGTGTGAATGTCTGTATATTTAGTTCCATACTCTTTCCCACATCTCATTGTTTGGAAGTGGTCAGGGAAGTGATTCATATAGCACTTGGAGCTGTGAATGTATGACTCCGTTGGGATGAATGGTGAGAGAATAGGAAGTCTGCCAGTGTAGGCAGGGAAGGAGGGTGCACTATGGGATGTGGATAAGATACTAAGGTGCACAAGACAAGAGGAAGGAGTTAGAAATCTTCACGAGAAAGTGTACAGTGGTGGAAGATTGTTGCCCTCCTGACCCAGACACCCTCAGCACTTAGGAGCCGTAACAGGACTTGAATAAGTATTAGGAGATGCCAACAGTCTCCAAACCTGCTAAGCCTTTGCTGAAACATCAAAAAAACTTTTTCCCTTGAGTGAATGTGTTTGCCAGTTTATACCCTGGCTCCACCCATTGGAGCAGGAAACTGAAATTGTTAAAACAGCCCTCCCATTCATTTCTCTCTACTATGCCTCCTTTGGGTGTCTCCCACCCCTACTATCCACTCCTGGACTTTCAGAAACATTGGTTGATGAGAAATTCTGGTGGCCATTTTTATGCTCCTAAAGGCAACTACTGGCCCAACAAAAGCCTTTCTAAATCCTTGCTTTTGCCTAACATCCCCTGGCTGCTGTCCCCATGTGACCCAAATAAACATGATCATGTGAAGCCTGTAAGGCTGTTTGTTTTAAATAGCAAGCATCTCCACTAAGCTCTGGAGCAGATGGGATATTGGGGCAAGGGAAAGGCCAGGTATCAAGTCTATTCACCCCACTTTCGATTCATCATCTCCCCTGAGAGAAGAGAGGTGCTTTCAACATACTGTTCCAGAAAAGTAATTTCTTGTCACAGAACTGTCCCTCTCAAGAGTAGAAGCACTGGGCTTTGAACTGTAGAAAAGACCGTGGGCCACTTGAAGACAGTGTGAAGACTGTGTTGCTGGCTCCGTGCAAAAATGGTAGTGTCATAGGCCTTCCACTTCCTGCGTCTATATCACCCCATTTTCTGTAGAGCGTGCAGGTCAGGGCCAGCCGCCCCCAAAGCAGGTAGCTGGCACCAGGAAAGGAACTGGGTTAGAGCTAGCACCCCTATAGTCTTAGGGAAAGCTGAATGACCTCTCATGGTTTACTTTGCTCCGGCTTCATAAAGTCAGTGACACCAGACATTTAAGGGCGATTCATGCTCAGCTCTCCATGTTGCAGGGCGTGTCTCTAGGACAGACTTAAGGGAAAGAGAGTCTCATTTGTTTTGGTCCCCTGGATGTTCTAGCAGTCCTCGAAGTAGGTACACACATACACTTAAGGGCACAGTGTGGGTGGGATGTATTGTCAAAGAGGCCTGCCTCTAAGATGTCAAAGGTTTGCTTTCCGGTGCTGTGCGATGGAGCCCAAGATCCTGAAAACACTGGTTTGTCTCTACTCTCCCTGCACTGGTTAACAAAAGAATTTGGGGCGTTAACAGGTCTGTGCCTAGCACTGGGACAACAGAATTGGGTCAGCTCCATGGTACTCATAATAGTCCAGTGCTTTTCGATGTTAATGGAGATGGTGTGGCTTTCACCAAAGAAGCCAAACAGTAAGGTTGGCTTTTTGATATTGGACATTTCTTCTGTCCTAATCAATAATATGTAAGTGCTCAGACCCCTCTCTACACTTTTGATAGTCCTTCACTTTTTGCGGGACGATGTGGTGGTGAGAGAAGTCTGACCTCAGACCTGACTTTGAAGACTTAGTAGTTCACGGAACAAGGAGCAGTTGGAATCGTCCCTTTTCTTGGGCCTCAGTTTTCTTATCTGCAGAGTGCAAGGATTTGGGCAAGCTGACTTCGAAGATCTTTCTGATGATACCCAGAGAAAGAGATGGTCCTAACTCCAGGAGCCAGGATAAAGGCTAGCTGGCGAGCCTAGGAGAGAGCGCGGTTCTAGCCCAAGGCAGCGACCCCGCCCCGCGCCCAGCGGGCAGTCCGGTTAACGCGCAGCTTCCGCCCTCCACGTTGTTGTTCCTGGTTTGGGCTACGCCTCCTTGGCCTGGGCTGTGGACGCTTCGCCTTTTCACCACTGCTGTCCCGGTACCACAACGAAGGGTGTCCTTTGGAATGGCACATTTTCAGTCTCCGCCCATAGCAGACACGAGTGGACAAAGAATTTAGGGAAAGAGAAGGAATACTAGGTTTTGAATGGGAGGGTGATGTAAAGCAGGGAACGGGCCTGAGCAGGACTGCGGAATTCCCCCGTCGGTGTCTCACCCTGCGCTCACCCGGCGGCCCTATTCGCACCCGCTAAAACGACCCTGCAGACACTGGCCCTTTAACCAGAAGGCTGGCGGTGCGGGGTGTCCATGTGGAGCTGCTCCATGCCGTGTTGTCCTGTCCTCCTATTGGCGGGCGGCCTGGTGATGTAGTCTAATAGGATGCGAACGCACTGCGGGGGGAGGAACAGAGACAAAATACGGAACCGGATCAGCTGTCCTGTCCCTCTGTCAGTACTCTAGCTACTTGCTGCTGTCAGCTCCGCCCAGGGGCGGATCCCAGGGGAATTGCGACAGACCTGACGGCTGCGAGATTTAGGTCGTGTCTTCGTGGGGCGTGGAGACCTAAGGGTCAGGTCGTAGGCTTCCTTGACTTTTACTACCGCTGTCTCAGCTAACCGAAGCCTTGGATGTCCCGTCTCTTCTCCCAGCAAGACAGATCTCGCTGTGAATGCCCGAAACTCGCATCCCCCGTTTAACTTGTGGCTGGCCGCGGAGCAGGGAGGGGCAAGGCGGGAAAGCGGAAGCAGCACGGAAGCCTGGTTCCATCTTCTCTCCCCCACCCAAGCCACGTGTGCGCGCGCGGTAGGCGGGGCTATCATGGCGCGACCCCGCCCTCAGTGAGACGCCGCGGCCCTACGGGCGGGGGCTCCGGTCCGGGCTTTGGCTGCGGCCCCGGTGTAGTAGCGGGGGCGGCGGCCGGGGGCAGCGCGGCTCCTTCCCTTGTTGTGTGTGTCGGTGCCTCCTCGCCATCTTGTTGCAAAGCCCTTTCTTGTCGGCGGGACTCCGGGGGCCGCGGGGCGGGAGGCATCGGAAGGGAGGAAGAGGAAGAAGGAAGGAAGAAGGCAGTGCCGCCTTTTTTTATTTTTTGCATCAAAATTGTTTTAATTTGCAAATTTCTATTTTGCAAATATTTTGGGAGACATTGATATTTCTTCCCGTGCTCCCCCGTTCTATCCTGAGGAGTGCGCCGCGCCGCCCAGCCCTGTCGCCCCCCGGAGGTGATCCCTCCCTCCTGCCGGCCCGCCAGCCTGACCTGTGCTTGGCTCGCGGGCCGCAGCCTCGGCCCCGGCGCGCCCCCGGCTGCTCTCGGCGCGATGAGCATAGAGACGCTACTGGAGGCGGCCCGCTTCCTGGAATGGCAAGCGCAGCAACAACAGAGAGCACGTGGTGAGCGGCTTGGCTGGGCCCCTGGGGCATTGGGTAAAAGGGGAGGCCAGTGACCCCGATCCCCAAACCCACTGGAAATAGCAGGCAGGCGCCTCTACGGCGCGACCTAAAAAGCCGGACAGAGCACGGGCTCCCCAAGAGCTGCCGTCTCGGAGGAGTGATGCGAGCAGTGAAAATAATGAATTCATTAACATGCAAAGAGGGACCCAGCTTCTGCGGGTGCCACCCTAGCTGCCTGGCACCCCCGGCACACCTTCAGTGGGGGACTCCTTAGGTGTGGGTAGGCGGCTCTCCGTACCATTGAGGATGTGTGACCAGGGGGCTGGGGAGAGGGATGTTGATGCGTGGGGGTGGCAGACCCGCGTGTGCGTGCGTGTGTGCACCTAGATGTGTGATGGGAGCCGGGGGAGAGCGGATGAACGGACGTGTGCACGGGTGTTTGTAGAGCACACGAGGGGGCGTGTGCGTAACTGGGTGGGGGTGGGGAATACTCTACGCGGAGCAGTTCTCTGGATTCCCTGCCCCTGGCAGGAGGGTGCGGGGAGCGCTCCCGACACATCTACGCGCTGCTTGGGGCGGAGGCGGCCTTTGCAGAATGAAATGACATCGCGTGTCTTATGATCTTGGCCAGCCCCGCCTGACCCCGCCTCCCAGAGCTGGGCTGGGTCGCTTGTCTAGGTTTGGCTGAAAACTGCGCTGATTGGGTGCATGTGAGTGTCCCGCGGGTCGCTGGGGGCAGCCCTTAGGCCCCCCTGCCTTGCCCTGCTTTAGCCGGTGTGGAATGTGGCGTGTCTGCGCGTTTCAAACCCGCTCTTGGCTGGAATGTTGCGTGTGCCTGCGTCCCAAGCCCGTTGGTTACACCGAGTGGTGACGTAGGCAGGCCCCGCCCCCGACCACGTGCACGGGGGACACTCCCGCTGGGGACTGCGCGGCCCGGCCCCTCCTCGCTGCCTCGCGCTTGCCCGGGGGCGGGGCCTGGGCGGGGCTGGCGAGGGGCCTAGAGTCGGGTTGGGCTCCAGCTCTGGTTGCTGGCCGTGTCTTAGGGAGGAGAGCCTTTGCCCTGGGTAGGAGGAGCTACGTTCACCTTGGCTCTTGCCGAATCCTCCTGTTTTTGATCTGTAGTGAGGGAAACCCTCAGAATCTCAGGGTGACATCTGCAACTGACATCTCCTCCCTGACCCATTAACGGTGTCCAAAGACCCTTCTGGCAACACCCCGGCCACATTGGAATAAGTCAGCGTGAAAAGGGTAAACTTTGGCACGCCCTCAGAGAGGATAGACGAGGATTTTATGATCCTATCCCCCACCCTTTTTGGCGGTGGTCCCTAACCATTGAGTGCTGCTGAAGTAGAGGGTATAGGAAAAGATCCCAGCTTTCCGGACGCTTGTGAGGGCCTGAGTCCTGAAATGATATGTGTGCAGTTCTCGGGGATTCCTGGTTCCCCTACCCACCCCCCAGAACCCTTCAGTCAGCAGTGTTGTGGTGGAGAGAGTTCTTCGCCCTCCTTTCCTTTCTTTCTGCCTATTGTTGCTTCAATGATGAGTCATGCAGGAGGTAGTAGTGTGTGTGTTGTGTGTGTGCTCGCGCGCAAAGGCGCGCGCACGCCTGCAGCTTGTTCGGAGCGGTAGGGCGGGAGGAGTGGTAGCTGGCAAGGGGCGGAGAAGCTGCAGGTCCGCGGGCCGAGTCAGACCGACCAGTTCTCAAGGTCAGGAGTCACTGGAGACAAGCAAGACCCTAGTGCTTAGCCTCTGCAGAACAGATGGTCTGGGGTATCCGCCCGCATGCCCCTCCCCCTTGTGTTTTGGGCCCAGAACAGGGTCAAGCAATGGACAGTGCTGGTGGTTAACCAGAATGAGAAGAGTGTGGTTTCAGCGGCAGATGTGAGAAGGGGGAGAACAGAAGAGTTTGGAGAGAACGAGTCACCTGCTGCTACCATCAACACAATGCAGTTCAAGAGTGCCAATTCTATCCCTACTATGTACCAGATAGTCTGCTGGAGGCCAACAGGACTGAGCCTACTGCTGCCTCTAAGGAGCTCTTATTTCACATTAACCTTTCTAGGCATATAGAAAAGGGGAGAAGACCTCTCCTGCCATGCGTTCACACCTGCTCAGTTAAGCCCAGAGCTGACCAGTAAGATGGTGGGAGGGGGCTGGTGGAATTTTCTCTGCTGAAGAACCTAGGAGAAGCCCTCTTAGGAAATTATACAGTCCTCCTCTTCCTCCCAAGTATCAAGCTCTGGGGAGAAGCAGAGTTCAGCCCCCAGGCACCAGCTGCTCACTGTTGGATCACGGAGTCTTAGATGGTGGTGGGTGCTGGGAAGACCCATCTGCCCCAAGAACTCAAGTTCGGGGAAGGCCAGATTTGGTTCCCACAGGCTACGGCCCCCTTCCCCTTATACAGTACCATTTACAGCATAACAGCACAATTTGGAAAAGAGGAGGCAGGCATTTACTTCAGATGACCGGTTATAAGCAGGAATTCTATAATCCTTTTCATTTCCATCTACGAGGTCAAGCCTGGCCTAGACCAGTTTGTTCACATGACAAACCTGAGGATATGGTGCACATGTAAGCAAGGGAAGAGAGGAAAGGGCAAGGCCGTCCTGGTGCCCAGGGGCAGACTTGGCTGGTTTTCGCCAGCATTTGTGGAGATGACTTGAAATGGCCCCCTGTCTTGATTGGAGGGAGCTGGCTGTCCTGCTCTGGGCCTGCCTTATGTGCCACGCTCTGGTCACATATAGAAGGTGAGAAGTCCTGTACACACGAGGCTACAGTAGTTTAGGAAGGTTGTAGGCAGCATGAGGCCAGTGCTCTCCCAGCCCAGAGGGTCTTGCTAACTTCACTGGGGTCAGTGTCTGAGTGGAACCTGGAGAAGGTGTGGGAGAGGTGGATTCACCTGTGGGTCAGAACATGCTTTTTGGGGGGGGGGAGTTCGAGACAGGGTTTCTCTGTGACTTTGGAGGCTGTCCTGGAACTCACTTTGTAGACCAGGCTTTCCTGGAACTCACAGAGATCCGCTTGCCTTTGCCTCTGAGTGCTGGGACTAAAGGCGTGGCCACCACTGCCCGGCCCAGGACATTCTTTAAAATAGCCTAAACACATAGGAGGCCCCAGAACTGCCAGTGTGCTTGGCCTTCCAGGGCACCGGTGAGGGTACCCTGTAGGTAGGAAATGAGGCAGAGAGGGGTGGGGCGGGAAGCTCTGGTGGACTGGTGTGGTCGTGGAGCAGCCTGTGCTGTCCCATTAGGACTGACGGTGTTGAACGTGGGTGAGTCTCATTCATTGAGCCCTTCCTGGTATCTGGGAAGCACGTCTTTGAAAGAGAGGGGAGTCAGAAAGGTGTTTGCCATCTCCCAGTGGAACTTTAAAATACAGGCTTTGCTTCCAGTCCAGTACCTGGCCTTGGTGACTTAAACACTGTCCCCAGGCCAGTGAGATGGTTTGGCAGCAAGCACTGTCAGATAAAGCATTACTGAGTTCCATCCTAGCAGCCTGTGGTGGGAGAAGAGAAACGACTCCTGAGAGTGGTCCTCTGACCTGTGTGTACACTAGCACAAATGGAGATTTAAACTGTACCAGTCAAAGGAGCTGTCCTTAAGCTCTGAGTTGAAGCCTGTGGGCCAGAGATGTTCCAGGCCCAGCCAGAGAAGGGCTCTGAAGTTGGAACTCCTCAGGCTTCTTTGCCACGGTGGTTTGTGCAAGCTGCAGTAACCTAAATCAGTGCTGACAGAGAGATGCCTGGGTGAGCAAGACCTCCTCATTGGAGCAAGCCTGCCCTCCCCTTCCTGAAGGGCAGGAGAAATGGGAAGAGGCCAACCCATGGCAGCCCTGAACTCTGTCTGCTGGGAAAGTTCATGGTTCCTTCTAAATCCTTCCTCCCTACTTCCTCCTCAGCGCCTTCCTTGCCAGTGGGGTGGAGTTGGGCCTGCTCTGCTCAGTGTTCCATGTCTGAGGGCCATGGGGTCTGTGAGCTATGAAGACCTGAGGGGGTACTATGCCCCTCCTTCCTAGGGAGGACTTAGCCCCAGCCCCATGTCACATGATCCTGTTTGGGGTGTGTCCGCTCTCTTTTGTCAACAGTTTTGAACACTACAAGCACAAGGGCTTGGGCTCCTTCCCTTACCTGGTGGTGACCGGGACTGGTTCCTGGATAGGGGCCAATCCCATTTTCAACTAGCTCTTGAGTAGGCCTCACTTTTCTGCTGGGCTTTCAGTAGAGAGGCTGAAGGACATGACCAAAAAGGCTGCCCGAGTCCAGTGGTCCTGCTGAACCTCTGCTGCATTTACTTAGTTGGCCTTCCCTTCTGCCTGCTTCCTCCTTTCTAAACTGTGCTGTTCTGCTGTAAGTGGTACTGTATAAGGGACACAGTCTGGACTGAGAAATGGCTCCTAATGTGTTGGGAGAAGGGACAACTGTGTTCATTGCTCTCTGAGGAAAATTGGGGCCTTGAACTTCGCCTAGGAGTAAGACGTCCCAGGCCATTTTCCCATGAAGTAAAGGTGATGTGTTTGCCCTGTAAGCTAGGGCTTTTGTGAGGATAGGGGTGTGGATGAGAGAGGACAGCATCTGGCAAGGTGTCAGACTGGCTCTGTAACTCAGCAAATCATCTTGTCTCTCTGCTCAGTGTTTGTGAAACAGAGGTCCTGCCTGCTCTCTAACAGGCACTCGGTAAATTCTGTGGAAGGAAGGCCTCTCCATTCTCCTGTGGTCTGGCCTATGGCCAGCTCAGACCTCACCCATCCCTGTGCACACCTGAGTCCTACGTCCTTCTGGAAACTCCGTTGGTTACCTGTCTAGTTCACCCAGCTCCAGGTTGCTGGCCTGCAACCTCCCATCCCTCACTGCTGCTGCTCCCCTGTTCCTTTTTTTGTCCCACTCTCTGCCCCAGGATGTGAGGTCCCCAGTGACAGGGACAGGGACCAGGCTTGCCCTTTGTCTGTTCAGTGCTGCCTTAGCTGGACATGTTTGGTTGTGTCTGGTGTCTCAGGCAGAACAGGATGTCACTGAGTCCTGACCGGGGCAGGTTAAATAGGGGCCCAGGACCCTGAGCTAAGACCCCTGTGTGTTCTCTCTGCATAGAGGAGCAGGAGCGCCTTCGCCTGGAGAGGGAGCGGGAGAGAGAGCAGGAACAGAAGAGAGCAAGTAGCCTGGCCAGGTTGGCCCATGCCCTGCCCGTGGAGGAACCCCGCATCGAGGCTCCACCGCTACCCTTGTCGCCACCGGCACCACCACCGGCACCACCACCACCACTTGCCACCCCTACTCCACTGACTGTCATTCCTATTCCCGTAGTGACCAACTCCCCACAGTCTCTCCCCCCGCCTCCACCTCTACCCCCAGCAGCCCAGCCTTTACCCCTGGCACCTCGTCAGCCAGCCCTGGTCAGCACCCCTGGACTCAGCATTAAGGAGCCAGTCCCTCTGCCCACCAGACCACAGGTGCCCACCCCTGCTCCCCTGCTGCCGGATTCCAAGACCACAGTTGCACCCACTGGCAGCCCCAAGCCTTTGCAGCCCCTCCCTACGCCCATCCTGACCATTGCACCACACCCTGGAGTCCAGCCTCAGCTGGCTCCCCAGCAACCACCCCCACCCACGCTTGGGACCCTGAAGTTGGCACCAGCAGAAGAAGCCAAATCCAGTGAACAAAAGAAGAGGCCTGGGGGGTGAGTGGGGTTCAGCAGAGGGGCTGGCAGGATGGGAGACTAACTGTCCTTCGTGGGCTGGGAGCAGAAGAGGGTACCCTGGCCAGGTAGCCCTTTTGGGAATGTCCCATGCCACTTAGTAGGATAGTGCTTCATTATGAGAGGTAATTCTAATTGTTCCTAGCTTTCTGTAGGCAACCACACGGGAGAGCAGGCATTTCCAGGCCTTTACAGAAAGTAGATTCTAGAACCCCTCTAGGATCCCTTCTTTGTTAGACCAGTGGTAGGATGTGAAGCTCCAGGGTTAGGAGCATAGAGGTGCCCACCAAGGGGTGGATGGACCCCACACAGAGCCAACACTTCCAATTTATAGAGAATGCTGGGGACAAAAACCCCCTGTGACACATGGTCATTGTTGGTATGGGTGGTGAGGGTCCCGAAGGCCGGATTTGGACCTTCCTCCCTGAGCCTCCTGTCTGTCTGGGTTTCAGGATCGGAACCAGAGAAGTCCACAACAAATTGGAGAAAAACAGGTGTGTGTGCACACTTGGGAGTGTAACTCTGGGCCCGCCCATCCTGGACTCACCCACCCTTGGCCTCCCCGCCTCCAGGCTTCTGTTGTGTGTCCCTGCCTCCTGCGCCTGTGCCCTCTGGCACAGGCTGACCAGCATTCACTCCTTTCCCCAGGAGGGCCCATCTGAAGGAATGTTTTGAGACCCTGAAGCGCAACATCCCCAACGTGGATGACAAGAAGACGTCGAATCTGAGTGTGCTGCGGACAGCGCTGCGGTACATCCAGGTATGTGGGAAGGAGGCAGGGCTGGGCGATGCCATGACGGCCACAGCGCCAGTTTTCTCCTGCTGCCGGCAGGCTCCCCCGCCTGCCTCCACGCGGGCGCTAAGCACATGGCCTGGCTGACGTCACCGGGGCTCCCAGCCCGGGAGGGGGCGGGCAGGAGGGCGCCTGCGCGAGCCGGCGGCGGCAGCTTTGCACTTCTCGGCCTTCCCCTCCCCCACGCCCCGCGTCTGCTCAGTTCGCGGGTAACAAGGGCACGAAGCGGGCCCAGCACCTCCCTATCTGCAGTATGCGGGCGAGACCCGGACAAGGACAGTCACGAATCGGGGGAAATAGATAGGGAGGGACGTGGTGTCTGTGTTCACCTGGCAGCGCACAAGGATTACGGTCGGGGTGGGGCACTGAGGCAGCTGGGGTGGAGCGGGGCCACTGAGCCTTAACTGTTTCCTTTCCGCGAGTGCTGGCAAGGGGTCCCTGCTGATGGTGTCTCCTCTCCCCGCGGACACTGGTGGCCCTCTGCAGCAGTGCGAAGTTGTCGCCCTGGAAACGGCGTAGGGTTCCGCGTGCCCGGGAGGCGGTGGGGGATGGGAGCGGCCAGGCTGGGCGGCGCGGGAGACCAAACCGTTGGGGACTGGGAGGGACCTAGCGAGCCCAGCGGCGCGCGCGGGGGAAGGGGGGCAGGGCGAGCATCGGGGTTTCCGCCCGCCCACTCGTGGTGCTCGCGGGAGCAGGCTGTATCACAGCTTCCGTGGGTGGGGTGCCCGTGCTCCACCAGGACTTCTGTAGTTGGGTCACAACCCGGAGGTAGCCGGACCTGGTGTTTGAGGCCCCAGGCGGCTCCTGTGAGCCGCCAGCCGATGCGCGCGCCTTTCCTCCCGCCTCCCGGAGCTTCCCGGCAGCTGGGGGCGGGGCCGGCCGCCCGCGGTGACGCAGCGGACAGGTCCGCGTGGGTGCGCGCGTGCCCCGGAGGGGCGGAGCCTCGCTTGCGGACCAAGGGGGCCGGTGGAGGCAGTGCAATGTCCAGTAGCTTATTTCCGTGATAATCTTACTGGCTTTAGGCTTGGGCGTAAATCACTAGTCTCAACCAAATCAGTCTCTTAGCACACCTCTGTCGTTATGCAGTGACATTTTCTTTTGAGTATCACTTTCCTCATTTGGGGATGCTAAGTAGAGAAAAATAGTACCATAGAGATGGTAGAAGAATTGACATTTATGCAAAAATCTTGCGGTCTCTAAACATTAATAGGAATTGTAACTGCGAAGTAGGAGCTGGAGCAAGGCAAGTGCCTTTTTATAGATGTGTGCTTCGGAAACGGAGCTTTGCATAATGTGTGTATTTGAAAATATCTCAGCTGCAGTAGAAGCAGCAGAAGGAAGCTCCCTAAGATCAGGCCTACACAGACAAGGAAGTGGGAGGGGCCCCAGGCTGTCCCTGAGAATGCTTGCTTGGTGCTGGTCATAGAAACAGAAACAGAAGTCACAAGATTGTGGAAACTGGACAGGGTGGTGGGTGGTGCACTTGAGAGGCAGAGCTGGACGGAATGCTGTGAGTTCGAGGCCAGTCTGGTCCAGAAAATGAGTTCCAGGATAGCCAGAGCTGTTACACAGAGAGGCCCTGTCTCGAAAAACAAAAACAAAGAAGGCCCCAAACTAAAAGTATTCTGAAAATCCTGTGTGGTACCTGTTCACTTATTTCATCAAATGTTTTTGGTCATGCCCTGGGTCTGCTTCTGAGGACCAGAGACCAAAGAAAAAGGGGTAGGTTTTGTCCTGGTAGATTGGGCCTTGTAGCGGGTCCAGTGACTGTGTCTTGAGGGTCGTAGGATCTGTTTGGGACATTTGGAAAGTATTGGTGGTGAAAGGACATTTGCGGAGGCCTGCAGGATAGATACATCTGGGTGAGCAGAGTGAAGTGGAGGACGGAGCGGTTGTTTCTTCATCGGGGGAGACATAGAAAGGCAATAGAAGGGTGACTTGTCCTGTGAAAGGCAACAGGCCCTAGGAGAGAACTGAAAGTTGGTCCTGGAGAAAGCAGTGGTCTTCCAGACCTAGGGCGTTGGTAGTGTGCCTAGAAGAGAAAGTCCGGTTGCCACCTGCCTTTAATCTCAGGACTGGAGGGAGATGCAGGTGGATCTGCGTTCCAGGCCAGCTGCGTTTGAGTAGTAAAAGGGCAGGGGGTGTTATAGGAGGGTGGCAGGTCCCAGGTGGACACCACAGTTGCTTGGAGGTGGTGAAGGACTTGAAAGTCACAGTGAATTGGGCAGAGACAAGAAGAATGGACATGTATCCAGATGGACACCTAACATAAGTGGATTTAAAGCAAAGTCCTGTGGACAGGGAGCTCTAGCATTCTTGTGGCTGTGGACTTAATTGCTAGCACCACAAACGAAAGAAACAGTGTGGACTAACCTTTGACTCTGAGGAAGCTCTGCAGGGGTCTCTAGACATGTGGACTCAACGGTGTGGAAGGGAGGGTGTTTTGGCCCCTGACGCTTTATCTCCCTGACCCAAAATATAGCCTCCCTGCAAGCAGTGGATAGAGGTGAGGATGGCGCTTCCAGCCAACAGTCTCAAGGTTCAAGTGAGGACTGAGTCACCAAGGGCCCATGGTTGATGTGGCCTCCTCTGATGTCATATGCAGCCCTCAGGGACAGAGCCAGGTGAGAGGACACGCAGGTGCCATGTGTGTTTGTGTGTTAGGTAAAGACAAGGGCTTTCCTATTTTCTAGCAGAAGTCTGAGGAGAAACAGGTTAAATTGAAGTCGGGGTGGTAGAGGGGTCCTGTGGTGTGGAGCTAAAGCAGGTATGTCAAGGCCAGCATGGCGTAGCTCTGGGTCATGTGTTGTAGGCATTGCTAGTTTGAAGCTTTTGCTCACTCATCAGGGATGTTCAGAGCTCGGGGCCACTGGAGGAGTGTGGGAAGTGGGGCCTAGTGGTTAAGGGGGTTGAACACGTCGCTATACCCCATCAGAAGCCGCTGAGCTGCTGCTAGGTCTTGGAAATGGGAGAGTGAGTCTGCTGGGTTCCCTTTGATGAAAGAGAGATGGGGTAGAGGCTGACAACCCAATAGGAGCGTGGCTGGCTTACAGATCCTTTGTAGCCGAGTTAGCACACTCCTGGCCACTGATGGGGTTAAGGATAGAAGCTGATTGTACAACAGCCCTCATAATTCCTCACTGGACAGGGACCATGTGTGGTGAGGCAGTTATCACATGGTCCATTGAGTCAGGACTAATGAAGACCCATCTGACAGACTCCCACTTAGTGCTGATGCACAGTAGGAGCCCTGGGAAAGACTGAGGCGGGATGACAGGCGACAAGGTCTCGGGCTGGGAAGGGCAGTGGAGGAAATTGTGGTCCAGAAGACAGTCGGGGACAGGCTGATGAAGTGTATCACGGGTAAAGGAGGCAAGCGTGTCAGCAGGGGCCTACACTGGCAAGTTGAGAAGAGCCCTTAGGAGTTGTGGTCTGACTTGGACCTCCACTGCAGCTGTGTCCCTTCCCCTGCAAGTGAGGGTCATTGAGAAAGAGACAGACGGACGGGACCCCCGGTGGGGGTGTGGATGAAGGCAGGGGGTCCATGTGTGAGCAGCGAGGTAGACACGGTTCAGAGACGAGCTAATATTGGAGTGCCCGTGGTCACTGCACCTGGAAGTCACCCCGTGCTTTACTTAGATGTCCAGAAGCAGGTTGAGCACTGGACTCTGGAGTCAGCAAGGGTAGGAGTGTCTGCCTTGACTGGGTGGTCATGGCAGGGTTGACATCCCTGGATTGGTGGACAGAAGAGGTGGCCTAGAGTGTCGGGGTCTGGAGGTCACAGAGGTGCTTTACTTTCAAAGGCAGCTGAAAACAGGGCCATGAGCTGGCGTTTTGGAGCTGCTCCCAGGTGTGCAAAGGGGACGTAGTGAGGCTTCAGACTTGGGCAGGGCCGAGTATAGAAGAGGCCCTGTGCCTACGGAAGACCCCCTTTGTTCTGAGGGAAGCAGGGCTGACTGGTTTGTGTTGAAAAGTCCCTAGGGGTGTACAATCAGACTTGGGGTGCTGTGGAGCTCCCCAAGATCCTTTGTTGTTGGCAGGTGGGGCACGCCACAGGTTTTTCAGGCTCAGTGTCCTGAGAGAGCTGTAGGCAGAGTCCTGGGTGAAGAGCAGTGTGAATTGCAAACTGGAGGGGAAGCATGCGTGGCTAGGGTGCAGCTGAGGTCAGGGGAGCGACAGAGCCAGTGTCGCTGCCAGGCAGATGGAGGCCTGTGACAGAGACCGTGCTGTCAGAGGCTAGCAAGAAACCCTCTGGGGACAAAGGTAGCAAGGACACAAGGTAGGATGGTAATGTGACTTCCTTGTGGGAGGGTACCAAGGAGGTCGCTGTAGCTTCAGTGAGCGAACATAGTGAGGGGTGGTAGACGCTGTGAGGGAGTGAGATGGACCAGCTCAGGGTAGTGTGGAGAGCGGCCTGCAGCCTCGGATCTGTGCTAGCTTTCGATGGTGCCTGCTTAGGCACCCACAGTGGCTCGGGTGCTGGTCCTTATTGGGCAGAGGGATGGACTAGGGGGCAGGTGTGGCCTCCCAGCTGCTCTGGTCACTGCAGATTGTCCAGAGCAGTGGTTCTCAGTCTGTGGGTCACGACCCCTTTGGGGGGGGTCACACATCAATTATTTACATTATTTACTATTATTATTCATAACAGTTGCAAAGTAGCAGTTATAAAGTAGCAGCAAAAATAATTTTATGGTTGGGGGTCACCACAACATTAGGAACGTATTAGAGGGTCAGAGCATTAGGAGGGTTAAGACCCACTGGTTCAGAAGTTTTGAGGGCCACAGAGCCTGTGGCTGCTGCTAAGGGTACCCTGCCGTCCCTTGCCCTGTCCCCAGTCCCTGAAGAGGAAGGAGAAAGAGTATGAACATGAGATGGAGCGGCTGGCACGGGAGAAGATCGCCACGCAGCAGCGCCTGGCAGAGCTCAAGCACGAGCTGAGCCAGTGGATGGATGTTCTGGAGATTGACCGCGTGCTCCGGCAGACAGGCCAGCCCGAGGATGACCAGGCCTCCACCTCCACAGCCTCTGGTGAGCCTTGGCCCCTGTGCTGGTTCTCTCCCTCAGATAGTGTCCCTAGCTTCTCTGAGTTTTTCCCCTGTTGGAGCTTGCTCCATCATACTGACCTCCAAGGACACCTATGCCTCCAGCCACTCGTTCCCCAAGTTCTTTCTGACCTGCTCCCTGCCCTGTGTTCCCGACAGAGGGCGAGGACAACATAGACGAGGACATGGAGGAAGACCGGGCAGGCCCAGCTGAGCTGAGCCATCGTCCCCAGCCGGAGCTGTTGAAGTCCACCCTGCCAACCCCCAGCACCACCTCTGCACCTCTGCCTACCCACCCGCACCCTCATCCCCACCCAGTGGCCCTGTCTCCTGCCCACCTCCCTGTGCAGCAGCAGCCACCACAGCAAAAAACCCCTCTGCCAGCCCCTCCCCCCCCACCAGCCACGCCGACCCAGACGCTAGTGCCAGCTCCAGCCCATCTCGTGGCCACTGCTGGGGGCGGCTCCACAGTTATTGCCCATACAGCCACCACCCACGCCTCAGTCATCCAGACTGTGAACCACGTTCTGCAGGGGCCTGGGGGCAAGCACATTGCCCACATTGCCCCCTCCGCCCCCAGCCCTGCTGTGCAGCTGGCACCTGCCACACCTCCCATTGGCCACATCACAGTGCACCCTGCCACCCTCAACCATGTGGCCCACCTCGGCTCCCAGCTGCCCTTGTACCCACAGCCCGTGGCAGTGAGCCAGCCCGTGGCCGTGAGCCACATCGCCCACACCCTTTCGCACCAGCAAGTGAACGGCACGGCCGGGCTGGGGCCTCCAGCCACTGTCGTGGCAAAGCCAGCTGTGGGGGCCCA